CGAGGGGAGAGAACACAAGAACAACGGTTGCTGCCCCCATCAGCTAATCTCTACAAATGAACACAAGAGCAGGTATCATTGTCAGAGATGGGAAAGGGAGAGTAAGGAGAGTAAGCAGTAACAATTACCGCAAACTGATTCATAGCCAATGTCAGGTCTTTCTTGCAATGAAGTTGGGTTTCTGGCACTTTCAACTGGAAAGGGATTCAATGCGGATCTTCAACCTCCTAAACAAATAATTATAAGATGATTCAGAAGTTGCGACACAATATACAGCATGAAGAACAAATTGTCAGAAATTCCTTACCTGTTTTCAACCATGGAGAAAGCGTGGCTGCTAATTGCTAATCTCATTTCCATCTTCAACTTTGCTTGAAGAGTGTCCGAGAAAACTGACATGAAGAACGAACTTTCAGAAATTCCTTACCTGTTTTCCGCTTTGGAGAAAGCGTGGCTGCTAACTGCTGATGTGCTAACGAAATAAGCACTGAAAGATGGAAGATCTTCGACTTGGCTTGAAGAGTGTCAGAGAAAACTCACAGAATGAGACAGACAATAGAAGATCTTGACTCTTGGTATACGAGGGAGAAATCATTTTGAGAAAAAAGAACAGAGAAAGTGAAAACAGCATAAACTAAAAGCGCTTGAAAATGATAAACAGTGGTCACCTGCAGTAGAGGCAGCCCTTCGATTCTTGCTCAGACGCGTCTGCTCCCACAATCACCTTCAAGTTCTTGTGTCAATTCTCAGAAACTCATCTGACTTCAGGTTCAACATCAACATTAATGTCCTTCGGGAACTAACTGCGATAGATAAGTGAAGAACAAATTCTCCGGTTCCATTATCGGGCGTTTTTATTGCAATGGAGTAGTGTTTGTGGCAGTTACAACTGGAAAGGAATTCAATGCAGATCTTCAACCAAATAACTATAMGACGATTAAGAAGTTGAATCACAATATCAGACAAGAAGAACAAATTTTCAGAAATTCCTTACCCTTGTTCCAGTTGCTAACTGCTGATCTTCTAAAGAAATTACCGGTAAAAGATGACTTTTGATATACGAGGCATAAAYCTTTTAGTTCCTTCCGATCCGTAAAGTGCAGACTGATCTCTACTTCTTTTTGAGAAAAAATAACAGAGAAAACGATGTGAATTGAATTCTTTTTGAGGAAAAAGAAGAAAACGAAACAGCATAAACTTAAAGAACGATGAACAGCGATCACCTGCAGTAGCGGCAGCCCTTCGATTCTTGATCAGACGCGTCCACTCCAACAATCACCTTCAAGTTCTTGTGTCCATTCTCAGAAACTCGTCTGACTTCATGTGCAACATCAACACTAATGTCCTCAGGAAACTTGCGATAGATAAATGGCGAACGAATTCTCCGGCTCCATTAGAAAGAAAGAGAAAGCGTCCATCTCCTTCAGACTCAACTAAACCATGAGAAAATCGAAGCCATGAAATGAAAACGGACCTCCGTTCTATTGACGCCATTGTGAGCGCTTACGGTCGCTTTTGTGGAGACGGAAGAGGGAGGGAGGGGGAATGAAAAACAACTTCGTCTGCACTGAAACACATCTCCGAAAGTTGAACCGGTGAATGACTTGAAGCAGAAGTATCCGTTGGTTCTAATAACTGATTTCCCGGATTTTACGGGATCATCAATGATGAAATAAATATCAAACGGCTAGTTATGTAATAAATGGAAGTGTGATGTGACGTAATCTCAGAAAACCGATGTAAACTTCGGAATTGATCTCCTGCAGCTGCAACTGCAATTATCTTCGATATGAATCTGACGGTAGATGATTCACTCCATTTAATTCTCGAAACTTCTTCGAATTTARAGAAATCACATTTAAYGACGAAATTTTCTCAAAAATTCTATTTAAAAATAAAAAGAGACAATTTAACAGATCTTTGAATTTTTGAAAAAAAAAAAGGATCTCTCTTTTTTTTTAATATATTTTTCTTTCTTAACGGAGCAAGCTTTAAAATGTCGATACTRATTGAATTATCAATATCTTAATTTCATGTAAATATCGATAAGATATCGATATCAATCAATATTTATGTAAAAATTAGAAAAATTAAAAAATCGTAAAAGATATTTAAATTAACATATAAATATTTTCTTATTTTTAAATTAGTTAAAAATAATTAATATCAATATTATGTATATATTAATGATGTTTTTTTTATATAGTTTTGACATTTTGTTATTTTTTTGTACTATGATGAAAATGTTGACATSTTCATGATATTTAGAATCTTACGAGCATATTAACTGTTTATTGTTAAAAAATTGAAGAATTTTATTCTCTCCGTGCTTCCCTAAAATACATTGTTGAAAAAATTGACAGATAATTTAGTTTTGTTTAATCATTATCGAAATATGTCATTGAAATCATAACAGTACTTTGTAGTTCGTATCTTTTATGAGAAAATATCGATCATTCAATAAAGATAAATAATCATTATAATCTATAAGTTTTTTTTTAGCATGTARGATGAGAGATCGAACTCACAACCTTTTGGTATGTTTACTTGGACCATTATAATTTGAGCGAAGTTAACCGTAAAATATGGTGTTTTCTTAAGATTAAAGGATATATCAAAATAAATTCACCTACATATGCATCATCGCTATTTAAATTATTATAACACAGTTATTTTACATGGTCGGTGGTAGAATTCAAATCCACCGAGTGATCTCCCTTTTTTTAATAGTTGAATATGATGTATCTCCCTTTTTTCATACCTCTTTTAACTATTAGAAAACCCAAAAAATCATACCATAGGAGCCGCATAAAAAAAAACTTGACATATAAAGAYGGAGAAGAACCATGGTATAAGAACAAATATTCAGGATTTTTTTYTGGTCATAAATATTCAGGAAAATTTAGTCACTGGGACTTCCAGCTTATGCTTTGCGYGATTTTCCTCAATAATTCTCTGATACTCATATTCACTGGTCACGATTAGACGCTTGACAAGGTCATATGTGGTAAGCTTGATGCTACAGTAAAGGAGTGGAGGACAGCTTAGCAAAAAAACAAGAGTGGAAATTAAACAATGCAATTGAAGAAAGAGAGCCAATAAGGCTTGGGAATCGTAATATAAATTAAATAAACCCAAAAAAAAAAAGCTTAATTATTGTACGATCATGTTTTTTAATTACTGCGACATTATTTATGGATTTTGGTGATTTTTAAATGTTTAGTTTATTATTGGATTGCAACCAAAAAAAAAAAAAAGTACAAAGGATTATATTCTAGAAATTTATCGCAAACCATTTTAAACCAAGACAACATATTTAGTACATTCAAGAAAAAATCCAAGTCAGTTCTACGTTTTTTGAATCATTAAAGGAATGGGAAAGTTTTTCAAATGTAAGGCAAGGAAAACATCGGCAACAAAAACTACATTGATTTTTTTTAATATAGAGATTATTCCGATATGAAACAAACCTGCTGCTTGGTAGATTCTTCAGGAAGTTGGGCAGTAAACCCCTGTAGAATCCAACAAATCCATCAGCAGCCCATACACCTGCATCAAACATCAACTAAAATTAAGCCAATGATTCCTAAATTACAGCTCTGCAAACTTTTTCTCCTCCCTTTGCTCGATTAGATTGCTGGGATTAACTACGATTATGTAAAGAAATATTAAATTCCTCGATTAGACTTGATCCCCATACTGAAACAAAATAAATCTGGATTCCATCTACACTCCCATCTCAGAGTTTCTAACATAAAGTGGTTTCATAGTTAAAAAAATAAAAATAAAAATTAAAAAAAATAAAAATAAAAAACAAGAATATCTGTTCTATGGAAACCAGTCTGTAGTTTAGAATTAATTAAGGACATGAAAAGGTTTGGAGAGAAACCTGCCACTTTTACATGGGCAATGACACCAGAATAAGCTTTGGACATTGGCCAAGCACGTAATTCTATGTCAAAGTGTGTTCTAGTCTCCAAACCTACCTCAGATTTCACTCGTAAAATGCCACAATTCAAAGTTAATAAAAACAACCAAATTACCTGCAAAAGCATCCAAAACTGTCTTGTAAGGTGTACCCTTCATTTGTATCTGTCTTCTCACGGTGTCCAAAGGATAGCACATGAGTGTGGCAAGGGAAGCTGAGAGCAAGGCTGTGAAGAAAGATGTTTCAGTTCTCCTTTGAACTTCCTCTGGCAAAGATTTTTTTACCCTATTATGCATAAAACATATCGTTATAGAAGATCTTTATTGTCATTCAATACAATCCAAGAAAGAACCAATGAGCGCCTACAAGTCAAAAATGCAAAAGTTCACGGCAATATAAGGAGCTATGCCAACAAGGGATGGTCCAAGACCACTGAAGTAGGATGCGATTCCTTCCTCTCGTAGCATACTTAATGAAATCTAGAAACCAAAGATTATCCATTATTTGCATATGAAGAATCTTTCTCCCATACACTGATATACAATAGACTATCTTTCATGATTCCATGACTAGAGAAGGATATGCCAACAATACCTCAGATGCTGTTCGTAACCCTGTGTCAACTGCCAAGCGTAACCTCAAAACATCTAATGGATATGTCATCTATAAAGATAAAAAGTGGTTAACAATTGCATATAAAAAAGGTCAGTCAGGAAACATAAATTGTAAAATCCTGATCTGAAAAAGAATTCTTGAAAATCTTCAACAGAAGAAGAGCATAAGTAAGAGAGAGACAAATTGCAGCATTAGGTTTTATTATTTAAAAATTAAAAAAAAAAAAAAAAAACTTTGTACTGTGAAGGAAAAAAAGCCAGACAACCTAAGGGCAGGCAAAGGGAGAGAACCCCCTCCGCCTAAAGAAGCTAATCACATCTTTGAGTGTTCTTCCTCTCTAAAACAAAGGTGGTAGTCTTCAGGGGGTCACTTCCTTTTGGGTTGTGGGACTGAATAAGGTTCCCTCCTCTGATCAGGCGCTGTCTGGGCTTGATATTGAGAAGCCTGACACTTTCTGGTGGATTTGAGCTTTTACCATTGTCTCGAGACATCTGAGGGTAGGGGCTTGGGCTTGTCCACCCTTCTTTTGTATTTGATTTATGGGCCTTGGCTTCTTTTTGCAAGGTGACCGTTTTTCCTCTCCCCAATTTAATATTCTATGCCTTTGGAAGGATCTTTGGGGTTGAATCAATTTGTGGAAAGGTAAAATTTGAAAGAACGGGGGCAGGATGAGCTTGAGGGTTGACAAAGAAGGTTGTGACCCACAGAATTGGTTTGACAAAGAAGGAAAGACTGTACTTTCGTTGTGATATTGTATTTGGAGTACTGGACAAAAGCAGGCATCCTGGACTTTCCAGATATCTATTTGACTAGGGCAGATCCCTTCTTTTCACTGTAGAATTGCAGCCTTAGAATTAAAACTTGGAAAAGAAACAATTAGCAAATTAGAAATGACATGCTTACGATGGTGGATGTCATGCCAGCAAAAGCACCAGCAGCTAGTCTTCCAATCACAGAAAGTTCACCATCTTCTCCACTGAAAAGATTCTATAAATTCAGGAATATATGACTGAGTTTTGCTACACGTGATTCTTATTTAAGATACATCTTGAAATACAAACTTTACCTTAAAATTTTCATAGGCAAAGAGTTGGATAGCACTATATGGTATGATGCGCATAACCTGGAACATTGAAGGGAGACCCTAACTAGGAATTACACCCCGAAAGCCTAAACTAGCTAATTAGCAATACATCGGGAAAGCAAGATTATGTTAGAATTATTAATAATGTCAATAGCAATTGTTCTGAAGCTGAAAAAGCTCATCAGAAAAATTATAATATTAATAATAAGATAAAATAAATTAGGAAATTAACCAAAAGCAACAACCTGAGGAAGGTTTCCCTTCCAAAGCCCTCTAATTCCTTCCACCTTTATTATGGTTGTTATTGCCTGCAATTAGCCCGTGGAGAAACCACCATTAAACAAATAGCAGAATCATATATGGTTGACACAAGACGACAGATAGAACTGAGAAAACAATTGGAGTTTACAGAGTTTGTTAGTATATTAACTAATCAAAAGAATTTTAACAATTAGCATTCTCGTCACAATGCTCGTCCTCTCAGATGGCAGCCTTTCACCCCTTAAATCCTCATTAGACTCCTTTCCCTTATCCCATCTTATTGAATTTCTGAAACCAAATTTATCCTTTCCACTATCCTCTGCCACCCTATCTCGTATGTACATTTCTTTCCATCTCTGTTCTTCATGTTTACCTCACCTTAGACATAAAAAACCATGCACAAATAGCAAACAAACTATTGTGGAACGCTTGCCAATGCGTCAACAAGTCATAAACTACCATGCTCACACTAATACGTTTAGTAATCAAACAACACCCTCCTATTTCTCCATCTTCTGCGAAGAGTAGCTAAAAACACAGGAAAGAGTTGCAAGATGCCAAAAATCGTATCAAAGCAATTTTGTAGCACCGTCAGCGTGCTGATGTAGCGCCAAGAATCATCCACGGAAAACAAATAAATGTCGGAGTAGTAACTAGTAACTACCTATTAAGGTGCTTATTGTCATACCTCGATAAAACCAATAGACTTCTTAGCTCCTTCTTGCGCAATTCTTGCTCCATGAGTCTGCAAACAGGTGAATTTCAGAGTACGAAACAAGTTAGACGAATTAGCAAAACCTCTCTCAATCTAACGTATACTTGAGAAAACGTAATGAAGTCCAGATTTCTACTCAACCTTCCTAAATGACCTTATAGATGCACAATAAAGCATCGAAATCCAAATAACCGCGACCATATAATCTAGGTTATCTAGGAGATTTCCGCGTTTAAATTATACTCTGCAACTCGTCAGCAATCAAACGAAGACTGTTGCCGTAAAACATTGTCAAACAATAACGAATTAAATAGTGAAGCCGTACGTTGGAGGTTAATAGTGCGGCTCTAACCTGCATAATAAGCTTGATGCGATCGAGCGGTGCTGTCGCAGCCTTAGAGGCCGCTCCCGACACGGCGCCAGCGGCGAAGAGTGTTGCTTCTCTGTGCACCAAAGCAAGAATCGACAATGGATGCTTGAGCAGCTGAGCCGGCGTCGGCGCGAACTCCTTCCGGTTTCTTTTTTTCACCAAAGTAATGCAGGCAAATTTACGGCTGCCATCGCCACCGCCGTTGCTACCACTACCACCACTGGTGCCAAATTGCTTGTTGCTTTTCCACAGTGCTCCACAATCCGTAGTGTTGAAGATGAAGATCCGACGATCAGATGCTTCAAGCTTTCCAATATTTCGCCACACAATAACAGGTTTCTTGTCTTCACGCATGGTCCTCAACGGAACTGAATGGCTTACATACAACAGAGTAACCGGTAACAAGAAACTCGAAAGGTTGAAAACCAAGGGATCAAAGGAAGTCGAACAAAGCCTGAAAAATCTAAAGCCGAAATTTGTAGCTGACAGGTGTATCCTAATTGGCAGCCAGATATTTTGGTTGATGGCGTCCGGGAACTTGTCGGGCTTGGGCCTGATATTTCCCAAACTCGATTTTTCTTCTGTCTCGGCCCATATGAAATGAGCCCAGATTTTGGTATTGGACCTGCCTCCTGATCTTCATCTTCTTTTTCAATCTTACTAATACGTTTAAATACTTTAGCCAAATTTAAAAAAATAAAAACTACTTTTTTAACTTTTTGAAATTTGTCATAAATTTTGAAATTATTTTTAAAAAGTAAATAACAAAACAAGAAACATATAAATAGAGTAGTTAATTATTTATAAATTAAATTTTCAAAGATGAAAAAACAGTAAACTAAAAACAAAAGTTAGACAAATGAAGAATTACCTATCCCACCTATTATCCAATGGTTCCCTAATCTCGTACATCTAGAATTGGGACAAACCACAACTCATTTACTTTGATCTAAAGTACTAAACAACTCATTTATAGAATCATCCTATTTTTTTGAATCCTAGTAAAACAAACAAAATCTATTAAGTTTGGGTAAAAATATTTATTGAATAAAAATCTATAAGGTGTTAAAAATATATATATTTATTTCATTTGACAGTCTTTATATATTATTTATTTTCTAGCAACTTTTAAAAATATCTTTTTTTAAGTTTTACTAATGTAATTTTTCACCATGAAAATAGACATTCACTTATGCCAATTATCGTTAGAGCGGTGCTCGCTTTGGTAAATAACTTATTGTTTTAAATTAAATGTCAGACAATATATAAACAAATATTTAAAATATTAGTATTTATTTTTTTATTATATAATATTTTAAATGAGTAACTTGAATAAACGGATCCAACATAATTCAAATATTTTATGATTAGGTTGTACTGAGATCATTATTTGATAAAGTTTGTTTAGAAAAACCATTGATTGTGTTAAAAAACATGTGAATCCAACTCAATCTATGAATATGGAAAAGTTTCTGGTACTACGGTGATATCTACTCCTTTGTTATTTTATTTGTTCACACTATAACTTTTTATTTATAAATAATTATTTAATACTTGTATTCTATATTATTTTCAAATGATGTTACGCTACATGACACGTAATAAATACGAGTAGTATATCTATTAGTATAGAAAATTTTCTTTATACGTGAATCAAGATGGGAGGAAAAAATAGGGAGGGAGGGAAGGAATATCAGTGGTTTGGACTAGATCATCAGAAATCGGAGAGGCCAAACAATTAAAGCTTGGTGCTGCAACATTTGGGATAAAGATGATATCAAAGCCCTAGAAATGAAAGTAATTTGTAAAGGATTACATCACCATGGAAGATTGTTTCCCCGTTCATCCAGAATCTGACTCTCTCCAAGCAATACACCTTTTCGAAAGGGTGAAGAGTGTCATCAGGTCAACGGCTCAGATTGAGTGACATACCAAGGGTCAGAACACTCGATTACTCTGACAGCTATCGTATCGACCGATCGTCTTCCTCCAACAATCATATTATGCATCTTAACCCCATAAATCACTAACTTAGGCAGATTTTCGAACCCAAGAGAACTTCTTTGTCAAGTTCAACTCGTACTTGCTAGAGAGAGGTCAATGTTTGGGGGGCAAAAATCATCCCGCCACGTGGAGGAAGCAAATAGATCCACCTCGACAATCCCAAGAATTTAGGCCACATTGGAGACTTCTGAAGTGTCATACTTAGTCATAAATCTATTATACGAGCCACCTTGCGAAGCGACTAACATCCAAGTTCGACCCACCACTTAAAACACGTTCGACCTGTTGCTCGATACTTGTAATCGCCTGTCATATCCCTAATCCATAAATATAGGGCATCACTTATGCATACAAGTATCAAATTTTATCTCGAACTTGATATTGAAGCCGAGCTGACTTGAGCGTCAGAATCTTTTTTGCCCCTCTTGTACAGGTTATTTCACGACGAAGTAAATCACCTTTCCCACGTGTCTAATCTTGACCAAGTCAGACCTTTACACTTGAACATATTTTAAAAGATTTAACATTATATATATATTTCCGAAATAAAAACCACGAAACAAGATTTCTACGAAATTGCCAACGACCATTGTTTAATACAACGAGTTTTTAAAAACTTCATACAAGTGAATTTTCTAACTTCAATTGTAATTTTTTTTTTTAGTATTTTGAGAGTGATTTTGTCACTTTCAGTGAAATCTGTCGCTTGAGGGGTAATTCTTCAAGTAATTTTTGGTAAAAATTTAATAAAATACTTAGTTCTTAAATTCTTATTTGTTTAAATTTTAAGTCTGTCTTTCTATTTCCCTGTTTTTCTTTCTAAATTTGTTGTCTCTCCAACTTTATAGACATGTTTCTCTAACTTTATTTGTCTTTCTAATTTTTACGTTTTATTTTAAAAAATTAAGCTGAGAAACATTACTTTCACTCTTATGTTTATTATTTCTTTTGTTATATAAATTTTATAAATATTTTCAAAATCTAGATGAGATTTTGAAAAAAAAATTCTCAAAAACTTAGTAATGAAATTATATAAAAACAAGCATAAATTCCAAACAAAAGAAAACTAAAAATGAAATGATTTTCAATCAACCCCGATAAATGGTTTTAAAATAAATTTTCAAATATACGTTATTGATTTGATGATTCAAAGATCACTAATGAAACCAAACATTAATCATTCCAAACTCCAAATACGAAGGCAGGGTAACTGCAGCAACCGAAGGTAACGAACCAAAGAAAATTTTATGCACTATCAATTTAATATTAATCTATTATTGAACAACTACCGTACCATTTTTAGGCTTGCTTGCTTACCGGTTTCCAAGGCCCAATTGGATAATGTTATATCGTTATTCATGTTTATCGTGTGATAGTATTTAATAGTTGTATTATAAAAATATAAAACGCACTAAAATAGTTAAAAAAAGTAAAAGAAAAAGAAAAACACCAATTATCAAGAGTTTATTGATAATTAAATGGGTAATCAATATTTAAGAATGCACATGGTTCAGTCGGTCTCGAAACAAATCGATTATTGAATTCACGTGAATCATGTGGATGAGAGAGAAGAGATAGGGGAAAATAAAATAGTGGAGAGAGAGTCCTATGATCCAGAAGGATCCAAGTGAGACTTCAATATTATAATCTTATATTCTAATCCTATGGAGGTAAGACTTAGAATAAAAAACATGACAACGGGAATTATATTAATTAAGGGCTTGCCGGCTTGTTTTTTATAAGCAAATATGGCAGCTTTGTGTTCTTATCCATCTTCAAAATAGGAATGAGAATCAAATGTGAGACCCGTAAAATTTCTTCATTTTCATCTTTTAGAWAGAGACAATCATATTCATCTACTGCACCCGCATCAATCACATTCACATTTCTTATTTTATGGACTCCACAAATTTATTGTAATCATTTTTCTACTTTTATCATTTCTCTCTCATGTATTAATGAGACTTATAGCTTATTTATTTAATTATTTTATACTTTTTTATTTCTTTTTCATTATACTACTAATAATTTTCTTCTAATAAAAATCTATACCAATTTTATTAGTCGGTGTGATTTTATTATAAGATATTATAAATTTATATTAAATTTTTTAATTTTTAATTTTTAATTTAATCTTGTTATTATTAATTAATATCGGTAGATTTTTTAAAAGTAGAATTCCTTATCATTAAATATTATAATAATAAATTTTAATAACATTATTATTAAATATTATAATAATAAAATTTAATATTAAATGATGATGGTTTTAATAAAAAAAAAGTATCTTAGTGAATGTACTTTTATATTTTAATTATTTATTATTTATAAATATTAAATAAATTACTATCAATAATATAGTAATAAAATAAATTATTATTGTAATTAAAAAAATTAACGTGTAATTGTAATAGCTATAAAGAAAAGAGGTATACTAGTAATTGTTATATATCTGTTTTCGATTTCGATTTCGATTCCACACAGTTTTAGCAAACAAGATAAAAGGAATTCTGATTCTGATTCCATAAAATTTTTGGCAAACAACATCAAAGGAATAATATTCCAATTCCGATTGATTTTCATTTTGATTCATTCTCATTTCGATTCAAAGGAATAATATTTCAATTCCGATTGATTTTCATTTCAATTCATTCTCATTTCGATTCTTGGTAAGTAAACATGACCTTAGTTCACTCTTTTAAAAAACTCTTCAATCTTGATTGACACATTCCAGTTGCAAATGATGCATGTGTCGAAACTCTACATCGGAGATCCTAGACTTGCAATGTTATAATTTCACTTTTATAAAGTTAATAATAGTATTTGTCAACGAATTATTAAGTGAGCAAATCTATTTTAGGAACCAGTGTATGGCTAGAGTCTTGATTTTTTTTTTGCAACTATTTCTTTTATTGTCTTCTATAATTAGTTTTTATTCTTAATTTAAAATGTGTGTTAAAAAAACGACAACTTATTGATCAATTACAAGCTTAAGCTTGGGTTGGGTTTCTTTTGTTAGGAAACAAAATCATGTATAAGCCAATACAGCAATTTAATTCTGGAACTAACTTTATACAATGTTTAATTGAGTGATATTTAAGATTAATATGTCATACTTTGAAGACAAAACTAGATCCAGGCATGACCAGATCTAGGGCATGGCTAAACCAATTAGGATATGGTCAGATCCAAGGCATGATCGACTCAGGACATGATCAGGTCCAAGGTATGACCAGGTTCAGGCATAATTAAGTCTAGAACATGATCAACCTTAAGGTATGACCAGGTCCAGGGCCCCCACATGGTCTCGACCGACCAAGTTCAACTGACCAGGTCCAAGGCCTCGCATGGCTTCGGCCAACCAGGTTCGTCTACTAGGAAGTCTACTGCTGACTATCAATCCCTTGGTTCAACATTCAGCCCACAAGATGCCCACAACCCAACAGGGTATGCTTCGTAAGGACATCAGGATTCAACCTCTATAAATATAACAATAAACTAAACCCTAAAGGTACGCCAGAAATATCATACTCTTCTTAATCGACTATTCCGATTCTAACTTATGCATTGGAGTCGGTGTGGTGACCCTAAAGGTACACCAGAAATATCATACTCTTCTTAATTGACTATTCTGATTCTAACTTATGCATTAGAGCTGGCAAGCGCCACACCGATATTCAGTGTTATTTGATTTTGTAGGTTGAGGTTCGTTCTCGATTTCATTTTCAACAATTGGTGTGAATTTGGTGTGATTCCAAGAGGCCAAATTTTTACCGCAACAATACTAACTTGAATTTAGAGCAAGGTTCGAGAGATACTTGATCTACATGTTATTTAGTATGTGATCATACCATAAAACTGATAAGGATCCCATATTGAAGAGGTAAGAGACTTAACAATAGTTTATAATAGACCTGGTTACTCCTCCGATTGTCAATTAGTTTCGAGATTGAACGATGAATATTAATAAAAACATAGTTTTTTATGCCTATTTTGATGAGTTTAGTTTTACATTTTTATTTTCTTAGTTTTATTTTCTATTTATTTTTTTAATGAACAAGTGGGGGGTGTGGATTGTTGGCGATCATTTTCTTAGAGTTCAATAATAAAACTATTAATTTTTTTTTCCTCAAGAAAACGTAAAGTTGTGGAAAAAGGGCTATTAAAGGTTAATTTATTCCACGAAAATAAACAAAAAGTAATTAGGAAGTAACTAATCAAGTGGGCTGATAATTTATTGGCGAAACTAATTAATAACAAAAAAAGTCAAAAATAACAATTAAGTTAGCTAAAATTAAAAAATGTTTAGAAAAAACTTGGAGTAATGCAGTAGTTATATAAAAGGGAGAAACAGATCCTCAATCTTCGTACCATCTGTCCAAGGAAAAAATGAACTCCTTCATTTCCCTCTCTTATTGTAAATTCCTAAACACATTATTATTTTGATGTTGTTAAATGCTTTTCTACACTGTGATATAATTAGGGTCCTAATTAACCTCTATGCTTGTCTTCAATATCTCAGGTGAAAGTTCATTGGTGAAACCGTTTTCAGTTGGGTCGGGTCGATACCAAGTCCCGAGGCAAGATCCAAACCTTCGTCCTTCACTGTTCCCGACAAATCAATGGAAGGCACGTTTTCCCGGAGCTGCATCCCGGTAAGCATAACCTAAATCCATCTCTTTTCGAATTAATTAAGACCACGGTTAAACTCAACTATGGTCTATTCCAATAGACCTCAAATTTTAAACACAATCTATTGGCATCAACTCAATCAAACTTCCATATTAAAACTAACGTATATTAAATTAATGAATCAATTATTTACGTCGGTCCTATGAATTCACCAAAAAAAATATGTGGATGAATACGAACTAAAAAAGAGTGATTGAAGTAGTTCTAACGATTAAAAAAAATGTTGGGTTCTATTGTACACGAATGTGAATTTCAAGAATATTAGAATGTGATTGATTGATGATCTGAAAATAAGAAATTTAATGAAAAATAGAATTGTCTTCCATGCATGTTTTAAGTTTTCGAATATGTGTTTGGTACCTAGCAGATTTGTATTAATATTCATTGAGTTTAATCTCAAAATCAATTGACAATAGAATAGTAGTACATGTCTATTATAAACTTAGGTTCCTCTGTTTTCGATTATCACTTAATGAAAGTAGATTGTCTTTCTATTCATTTCAAAACTTCGACGATCCCTTCTCGAACCAAGGAGATCATTAACAATTTGGATTAATCTCAAATTAAAAAATTATTCGAGATCTATTTAATAATATATTTATAAACTAGTAGTAGTTAATGGATTTTAAAATAGACTAAAGACCCTACCTACTTTTAAAAACTTGGAAAGTGGAAATAATTGAGTAAACTTGAGGAGTAACAAATACAAATATTGATAATCGGTGGAGTGGAGTAAGAATAAGATACTACAACAAATATTGATTCTTGTTTCATTTGCTTTAGAGGTGGATGGAGAGCGAAAATGGTAGGGCCAGTGAGACCTCGCTTTGTCTTCTTTGGTTCTTCTATAGTGGAGTTCAGCTTTGACGATGGTGGATGGGGGGCTGGTCTTGCCAATTTATACGCTCGCAGGGTATTTTTGCTCTTAACTTTCTTATCTCTATTCATTGGAAATGAAATGAGGTTGTTTAAATGCATGATCTCCAACTCTAATTCCTATATTAAAATGCCACTCAACTAAAAAAAACTTAAAAGAATTTTGGTAAACTTAATTTTTAATTTATACCTTTCTATTTTAAATCCTAATGAAAGTTCCTAATGCAACTCCACAGGCAGATATGGTTTTACGAGGCTATGGTGGTTGGAATTCAAGACAGGCTCTAAGAGTTGTGAAAGAAATCTTTCCAGTGGTACACACCTTATGTGCATTCTCATAATTATGCTAACTAAACTTTTTATAAAAAAAATGAAATCAAATTTGGTTATTGAATCTTCACAATTTTATTAAATAAATCATCAAAATTTTGAAAGGTGCATAGTCTTTACCCTTCGAATCTGTATCTAATAGATTTTTAAATTTTAAAAATTGTGTCAATAGGTTTCTAAACTTTAAGAAATATTGTCTAATAGGATTCCCGAACTCTAAAAATTGTCAAATAATTCAATTCTAAAACTTTCAATTTTTTTTTTTATCTAACAAAGTCTTTAGACATTTTCTTTTACTTAATAGGTAAAAAATTTTGATCTAATATTAAACCTAAAATTGAAAATTTAGAAATTTATTAGACATTTTCTTAAAAAAATTTAACAACTATGTCTTCTTTAACCTTTACCTTCACTAACCTGATAAAAAATCACATTATAATTACTAACCATTACTAACATCTCTATTTATAAATTTCTAAATAGTCTTTCTATCTACTTGGTTCTCAAAATCAAGTCTCTTTTGTAATTACTATATATATATATATATATATATATATATATATATATATATTATTTCTCTCAATTGGGGTGCTTTCATCTAAACCTCTTCTTTTTGTATGTATGTTTTTCATATACTTTTAATGAAATATGGTACTTCTCTTCTAAATAAAAGTTACTAATATCTCTATTGGTGGTGTGTTAGGACAATCCCATCAAACCTGCTTTGGCCATAGTCTACTTTGGTGGTAATGATGCAATGATTCCTTTTCCCGGTAGCCCTCACGTGCCATATTGTGAATTCCTCGACAACATGACCCAGATCGCCCTCCATATCAAGGTCAACTACCCTAAAATATTCTATTTTCTTTGAAAATTTTAAAAAAATCATTTTTAATTTTTACTTAAAAAAATTAACTAAAATTTCAAATGTGTGTTACCTAACAAGGTTTTAAATGTCGATGTCGATGGAAATGTCGAGGTCTCAATTTCATGGAAATATCGATAAAATGTCGATGTTGATGGATATTTCTGTAAAAGTTATAGAAATTAAAAAATCGTTAACTTAATTAAAAAATAACAAATATTGATATTTTGTATATATTAGTGACATTTTGTTGATATTTTGTCGATTTTTTTCTACTATGATATTGATATTATGTAACCGATGGAAAATATCGATTTACCTTCATATTGATGTCGAATTCATGAAAACGTGAACACGTTGATGTAAAAATTAATGCGTCGATAGATATTTAGAAGTGGAGTTACTTGACTTTACATTGTATAACACTCTTCAGGGCATCTCAGAGACCACTCGTTGCCTCTTCCTCTCAGTTCCGCCCGTAAACAGTGAACAACTTCACGAAATAAGGTGTAGACTTCAAAATCATATATATTAATTATTGAATTCGATGAACATGAATTTTTATATTTCTTGGATTGCTGATAGCGATTTTTTTTTTCTGATTGGCCCAGTCCGGGATTGGAGAAACTTCGACCAATGGAGAACTGTGAGAAGTATTCAGAAGGCACTATTAATATTTGCAAGCAATTGGGCATTAAATACATTGATTTGTTTAATGCAATTCAGCGGAGACCAGATTGGAAAAATTTCTTCACGTTGGTTTCTAGTTCATAGTTCCTACTATGCCTTTAAATTGAATTTGTTAGCAAAAATATTATAACTTTTTTTTTAAAACTTATTTTAGGGATGGAGTTCATTTTAACCCAAAAGGAAGCGAGGCAGTTGAAGAGGAAATTTTGAAGGTGTTGAAAGAGGCAGAGTGGGTACCAAGCTTGCACTGGCAATCGATGCCAAAGGAATACGAAGACATCCATCCCATTCGCTTTAATAGCGCAAAAGTGCTTCTGGATTAATTTGAAGTGTTTATGGATAACTTTGTTGAACTTTTTTTTAATTTCAATAAAGGGGTGGGTGGGAGAGGGACCCAAACTCATCAAATATTGTGTTTGCTTTTGTACTCCGTTGAATTGTGCTTAATAATGTTTGTCTGTATGGATCGTTTAAGAATTTAAATAAAAATCAAGAGTGGTGTTGGGATTGAAGACAAAAGCAATGGGGGAAGAAAAATTAAAAGAGAAAAATAAAGGTTAAGGCTGCTGCCAGTTGTTGGGTCTGCAAGAGAAAAATAATAAACACAAACCTCAACTATTAAGTTATTCATAAATTTAGGTTTGATCGGTGCAAACCATATTGGAGCCACGAGGTGTTGAGGCACAAAAATCATAGTGGCGGCTATTTTGTGTTGGTGCACAAAATTGAGAGCGACGACAGTGGTGTTATTTGACGGAGAAGAAAAAAAAACGTTGACTTGTAGAGCATTGTCAACAATCCGTTCTTGTGAGACTAGTGAAGTTTTTCATTCTGTATTCCTAAATAACTATTGTTGTAGTACTTAGAAGCTAGGTGACTATTGTTGTGACATTTAGAGAGACGTTTGTGAGATTCATTGTATTTATAGAACTCGTTGTCGTCTCATTTCTGTACTTTTCCTATCTTTTTTTTATTGTTGTATGTGACTTAGTTTTTAATAAAACAGAGAAAGGGAAAATATTATTGGTAATCAATTTTTCCCACCAAGTAGAAATTAAAAAATGTCATTGGAGGAGTGCCAATAAGTCTTGAAAATCGTAATAAATTATTGCATGGTTATGTTTTTTAATTACTGTAATATTATTTGTAGATTTTGGTGATTTTTAATGCTTTTTTCATTATTGGATTGCAACCAAAATATATATATACAAGACGCCAAAGTCCTCTAAATTCCTTCCACCTTTATTAATAAAACAAACAAAATCTATAAGTTAGGGAAAAAATTTATTAAATAAAAATATACATAATATTTTTTATCTCAACCAATTTTTATAAGAAAATCTTTAAAAAATATATTTATTAAACAAACATTTAATATAAACTTATTATTAAAAAATTATACTAAAAAATCTTAAAGAATAAACACTAATAAAAAGGTATAATTAGAAATCAAAAAACTAACCATCAAAGTCGATTACTAGGTGTTCACCATATTTTATCTTTCAGCTATATAGTACCTTATATTTGTGTTATTGTCTTGTCTATTTAATTTGCCACATTTTTTGTTTATTCTAATTGGAGTAAATATTGAGAAACAAACATGTAATCAATTAAGTTAAGGTGTGAGTATCTCACTCTCTTTAAAGAGATTCAAGTCCTCGATGTGTCTTTCTTTATTAACTCTCGATGCACCAGTTATCCTTGGTCTGTCCACAACAAAGAACACTTCTATTTTGGTCAATTGCTCTCGGAAGAGAAAAATAGAGAAAATGGAGAAAGTAAAGAATGAGTTATGACTTGTGTTTATTTTAATGTTTAAAAATATAAAAATTTAATTTTTTGTTTACTTAAATTACTTATTTTATTTTTTTTGAAAAAAATACCTATTCATGGATTTTTCATATTTTTTTCCCTAAACATTACAATACATGAAAAGAAATAAAATTTTGTTTTGATTTCTTATTTGAGTTATTGAAAAAAAAATGACAAAAAAAAAAGCAGGTACGTGATCTCTTAGGCTTTTTGAATAAATTACTTACTGGTAGGTAATCTATTATTTTTTAAAATAACAATTATTAAGATTGCATTGAAAAAAAAACTAAAAGCTAAATATTGAATCAAACAATCTAACTAAAATATAAGAAAACACAAATCATTGACTAAATGATAAAAACATACCGAAAAGAAAAGAAGCTCAAGTTTTGATGAAGAAAAAGTTGGGAGAAAGAGTAAGAAAAACTATTTATATAGTCGTGGAAAATAAAAATTAGGAAACTTTTGAAATTCCTTATTAATTATAATTAAAAATAAGTCATAACTTCTTAATTAATTCATTGAAAAAGATGGACAAAACTTTACCTATTTTAACTCTTTACATTCTAAGCTCAAGCTTTGAGAGGAAGAGTTTTTGAGAGAGATAAAATTAATTTGAGAAAATTGAATTTTTTTAAAGATGGAGATAAAATATTTTGAAAGAAATGAAAAAAAATGTTTAAATTAAAAGAACAAAATAGGAAGAAAAAGTTTCCCAGGACSTCTTACATGGAATAGGTAATAAATAAGTTTTTGTTAACTCTCTTTTTAAAATAGATTTTTTTCACAATTTAGTAAAATTCTCTCAAAACTTAAATGGATCTCAAATTAAGTAAAAAGAGACTCATGATTATTAAAAAAATAATAAAAATGTCACAACAGGACATTATATCATCATGTATTAAGAATCCACTGYTCTTTTCTCAAAGGGTAGACACATTCATTTTTTACTTCTTAGAGTTGTTTTTTTAGACTTCACAATTTTTTGAAATGTTTTAGAGTTTCTTCTTTAGATTTGCAATTTTTGGAGATGTTTAAAGAGAAAAGAAATTCTAACCCTCTGCATTTTTTTTAGGAAATGCATTCTTGTAAGTTTTTAATACTACAAAAAAATAGATTTTAATAATGTTCGAACTAGATTATTGATTAGACCAAAAAATATATTCTAATTAGTCAAGACATTACTTACTTTCTAAGGTTCGAATCCACCCACAACTTATTGAATCTAAAATACAAAATTAAAAATAAAATAATCAAAATACAAAGAAATCCCATTTAACAGACAAGGTTATTGCTTCTCATTTTAGTAGCAGTTAATATGAATATAAAAGCACACGTAGACTTGGTAGAATGAAATTTCTATATTTTTGTGATCTTTCTTATTTTTGTAAACCTTTAGTTCGTAAAATCTTCTTTAGCAACAAGTGAAATTCTTCGAATTCTTTTAAATTTGACGTGTGAAAATTTTGAGGGAGCAAATCAATAAAGATAGATGTTGACTAATAATCACCATCGAGAATTTAGAAAGAGTGAATTTTGAGTTCACCTAAATGAGAAGAAATTATAACAGATGAGTCATGTACAACAAAATTTGCATATGGTTATGGCGTTTCATTGTTAGGAGAAACCTGAATCACCAATTATCAAATATATTTTAAAAGCCACAATAAAAATATCACGAACAACATTTCAAATTTTCATTTTAAAATATTTAACAAAAGAGAAAATATATGTTTGAGTATTTTACTTGCTTTGAACTCACAACTCCATAATTTGAGGTTTATGCCAATTACCATTGAACTATATTCGCTTTGACAGTGATCCACAAATATTGAAAATTTATTTTTTACCTATCTCTATTCCGATACGTTGAAGTCGAAACTCTTATTTTCTGTTTAGTAATAGTTCGAGTAAGTCTTGAATGAACCCCTTGAAAGCTTAAGTGATTTTTGGTAAAATTTAATAAAAAGTGAGCTGTTTTAAAATTTAAGTTTATCTTTCTATTTCACATTAAATTTTGAAAAAAAAAATTATTTTTTTCCTTCCTAAAATTTTGGTGTCTATTGGTCTATAATTTTGTTTCTTCTCTCTAAATGTTTTTTCTTCTAAAAATTTTGTAATCTCTCTCTAAATATTTTATATTCGATCTCTTTCTAATTTTATTTCTCTTCTTAAAATGTTTATGTCCAGCTCCCTCACTAAAATTATTTAGATTGATTATTTAATTATAAAAATCATGTTTCTCTATCATAATAATTTTTTTACTTTTATTTTTAAAAATTTAACCAGATAAACATTACTTTCACTTATGTATTTATTTAATTTTTATAAACATGTTTAAAATCTAGACCAAATTTAAAAAAAATTAAAAAACTTCGCAATGAAATTGTACAAAAACAAACATAATTTTTAAAAAATGAAACGACTCCTTAATGAACAGCTGTTAAATAATTTTTCAACTATATGTTATTGATTCGGTTATTCTAAAATCACTTTTAAAATCAAATATTAATCATTCGAAATCATCAAAGTGAGCATAACTCAAGAGTGGTTGAGTTCTTCATTAGTTCTTGTTTTATTTTAATAACAAGCATTTTCAACSACAATTCATTTTTCTATTAAGTCTTTTAGCACTATTATTATTTTTTTCATATATTTTGTAAACAAAAAAAGAAAAACTATATTTTGAATATTGACAAATATTAAAAAAGATATAAAAGTGTTTTTCAGAATTACTTGTTATTACAATTCCTGGAATAAAATTACTTTTTGAGTTAAAAAATTTAGTTAGGACTTCTGATTTGTTTTTTTAAATGGAGAATGTATTTAGATAAGCTATTTTTTTTTAACCCACCAAAATGCTATCAATTTGATATTTAAAATTTATTCTTGAACAACTACCAGACCAATCAATTTTAGCCTTGCTTGCTTACCGGTTTCCAAGGCCAAACTAATATATCTTATTCATGTTTATCTTTTTTTTTTTTTTTTTTTTTTGCAAAAGGTTATTCATGTTTGTCGTGAAATAATATTTAATAGCTGTAATACAAAAATAAAATAAAATAAAACGCACTAAGAATAGTTGTAAAAGAAAAACCAATTATCAAGAGTTTAACGATAATTAAATGGGTAATCATATTTAAGAATGCACATGGATCACTCTGGTACTAAAGACAGAAAAAATCCATATTTAATCGGAATTCACGTGAATCATGTGAATGAGAAAGGAGAGAGAAGGAAATATAAATTATTCAGAAGTATTCAATTGTTATCCCTCCAATGGTAGCCCACGAGGCTTTCACTTTTGTTTAATGAATTTTCCTTTCTTAGGAAAAATAAATATATTCAATTGAGACTTAAATATCACCTATATATCATAATCCTAAAAGATGGGAATTATATTAATTAAGGCCTTCACAGCTTGTTTTTATAAGAAATATGACAGCTCGTGTCCCATCCATCTTGATTTCATGCAACATTATATAAAGAGGTGTAGATTTGAACTCACAACTTTATGATCAGATAAAGATATCTTAACCTGTTGAGTTATGATTTGGTTGATAACATTAAATAGATTTCAAATGCTTAATTAAAAATTTATTTGTAACGTGACTCGAAATTTGACCAAATTCAAATATGTGAAAATAAAAAGTAAGTGGTAAATATATAACTTAGCCTTGAAATATATACCTAAAAGTTTAAATTGATGAACTACGATCAATTTAATTTTCTTTATTGATGTTCTAACAATCTCTAACTTATAGGTGTATTCTAACGTATAGTTACCACTACTCAAATCTACTGTTATATATAAATATATACATGCAGTACAAAATTTTTTTCTTTAATTATAATTCATAATAGAGTATCAAAAGTTTTCCAAAACTCTTGTAATTTTTCATCATATACCTTAAAAATAGGTTTCCCTCCACTATTTTTCTACCCATAGTTTAAATCTTCCTTCTTTATTTATTTTTCAATTCTCTCAATTATCACTGTTTTCAAGAACTTTTCAATCTTGGAAGTATCTCGAAATGAAACTATATCCGAGATTCTAGACTTGTGATGTTACAAGTTCCGTTGAGCCATAACATTTGTCAAGGAATTATTAAACGAGCAAATATATTTTAGAGATGAGCATATGACTAGAGTCTTGATTTTTGTTGTTACTAGGTCTTTTTAATTATTTTTTTAATTTAAAATGTGTGATAAAAATACTACAACTTATTGATCTATTTAAAATGAGCTATTTTTAGTTATTTTTTTTATTGTTCTTTTATTTAAAATATTATTTGAAAAATAATAATTTATTGATTCATTACAAACTTATGTTTCTTTGGGTTCATATTTGTGTAGGCTACTTTATTGGTAAAAGTGCTTGATATATTAAAATTTATCGTACCACTCCATGTCTACTAAACAAATCTTTCAATCCACAGTTAAATTCAAACAAGGTACATGTCTCTCATTAAAAGATCTTTGATTGTATTAAAAAAAAAAAATCAATCAACAAGTGAGGGATCGACCACGCGCTTTTCCCTCTCTTTTTTAGAAAGCTGCCCTATGACCTTACGACAATGAAGTCTCCAAATTGAACAGAGGTCACAAATAACAAAATTAATTATATAATAAAAAAAAACTCAAAATAGCAATTAAGTTTTAGAAAGACGTGCAGAGATTAATTAAATGGAACTAGTTCTATAAAAGAGAAACAAGAGATGGGCTGTGAGGATGTAGAACATTCACAGATCCTTATTTTTCCTCTCAGTGACCATCTGCGCAACCAAAAAATGAGCTGCTCCTTGTTGAATCCGGTTCCAGTTGGTTCGGGTAGATGCCAACTCCCGAAGCAACATCTGAGCCTTCGTCCTTCGTTGAGTACACATTTTCCCGGAGCTCTGTCGCGGTAATGAAGCATAACCCATATCTATTTCGGTGTAGGTTTTATACTATAGATCACGGTTAACGTCAATCATGACCCATATACTATAACAAATATTGATTCTCGTTTTATTTGATTCAGTCATGGATGGAGAGCAAAAATGGTAGGACCGGTGAGACCTAAATTCGTCCTGTTTGGTTCTTCTATAGTTCAGTTCAGCTTTGGCGATAGAGGATGGGGTGCTGATATTGCCGATTTGTATTCCCGTCAGGTATATTGATTCTTTTGTCTCTAGTCGGGAATTTTTTATTTTCAACAAACGACTATCAATATTCATTGAGAAGAAATAATGTTGTTCGAATACATGATTAATTTTTCGGCTTTTAATCAATAATTACTATATTAAAGTGCTACTAAATTTGAATGGATTAAGATAAATTTAACTTTTAATTAATACCCGTAGATTTCTAAGGCTGGTTTATCTTGACGCAACTGCACAGGCAGATGTAATTTTACGTGGCTATGGTGGTTGGAATTCAAGCCGAGCACTACAAGTCGTGGATGAAATCTTTCCAAAGGTACACTGTTGTGCTTCTATGGGGTGAAGGAAAACTTTCTAACGAGTGTATATCTAAACATTAACTTAAGTCACAACTAAAATTATAATTATTTTGGRTAAAATATATTTGTGGTGGTTAAAGTTTGGAGAGATGTCTATTTGGTCTTTAAAATTTCAAAATTAACATTTTTTATAATTGGTTCAAGTATATTTAAATACTATTTAAATTACAAGTTTAGTTCTTGAACTTTAACAATTTTTTTAAATAAATCATAAACTTTAAAAAGTATTTAATATGTTTTTTAACTTTGAGTGGTGTCTAAAAAGTTTCTAAACTTAAAAAACGTCTGATAATTCTCTAAACTTTAGAAAGTGTCTAATAGGTATAGAGGTATCTACCGTGGGAAATTTCACATGATAGAGATTGAAATAGGTGGAATGAGTATTAGATAATATTATTTGAATTATAATTAGATTTGAATTAGATTTAGTTTTTATTATATTATTTGAATTAGATTTCCTATTCCTGCTATTTATAATTAGTTTTGTATAAAGTAACTTAATAAAATGAAATCCTATTTGGTATTCTTCCTATTTTCTCTTATCCCAAAGTTAACAACTGACTTCGTTGCCGTTACATACAAAATTGAAAGTTTACACATTTATTAGACATTTTTTCAATTTAAAAACTCCTTTTTTTTTACCATGTCTTAATTAATAGAAAGACTTTTAAAGGACTTGAAAGTAAATTATGATAGTTTTTGGTTAATTGGATCTATCTATCGAATTGAAGCTATATATAACATTGTTAACGGCTCTATTTGTTATATGTTAGGATTCAATCATCCAACCTTCTCTGGTTATAGTATACTTTGGTGGTAATGATGCAGTCATTCCTCTTCCTTTTCCGGGTGGTAGTCATGTGCCACTTCCTGAATTCATCAACAACATGACCAACATTGTCTGTCATATCAAGGTCAACTACTCCTAAAATCTAATCCCATTTTGCTTTTTGTTGGGTTGTATCGGTAAACATTACTTTCACTTCTTACCTCTTCTGCTTTAATATCTGAAAATAGCTTTCATCTAAATGTATCTGTTTTAATATCTGAAAAATAGCTTTCATCTAAATGTATCTGTTTTAAACAGTAAAAACAAAATGATTATAATTACACAGAGGCTAATGGTCTTGAATAACATTCTTCAGAGCCTCTCGGCAACAACTCGCAGCATCTTCCTCACACCACCGCCGGTAAACAGTGAGCAAATTAGAGAGCTGATGTGAGTGTATAATATCATATACTTATTTGAATTCGATAAACATGCTTCAATTTATATGATTTTTCCTCGCTTCATATCATTTTGTTTTCTTGATTGACTCAGGCCGGGACTTGAGAAGCTTCGAACGATGGAGAATCTTGAGATCTATACGGATGCGATAATTGACATTTGTAGGGACATAGGCGTTGAATATGTTGATTTGTTTCGTGCCGTTCAGAGGAGAGATGATTGGCTAACTTTCTTCACGTTAGTTCATGATAATGACCTTAAATTTTGGATAAAAAATTACATTCAAATGGCGGAAAGAATATTTTGATATGTTTATATAAATTTATTTGGTCAATTTCAGGGATGGAGTCCATTTTAATGAAGAAGGAAGTCGCGTAGTTTTTGAGGAAATTAAGAATACGATTAACAGGGCAAATTGGGTACCAAGTTTGGCTGCGGGATCCATGCCAATTGAATTCGAAAATATCAGAAGACTGGGTTCCTTTACCTTTGAAGGCTCAAGAATCATTCTGGATTAATTTTAACTACTGCTCCATGCTCCCTTTTTAGACTTCAATAAAGGGCCTATTGTGATGGGATCCAAACTTATAAATTATTGCTTATGCTTTAAATAGTTGAACTGTGTTCGATTAGCATTAAAATAACTATTTGAGTTCATATTTGATAATTTACTAATTTACTATCATTATTGTTTCTTTCAAATCTTTTTTCTTTCCCTTCCTCATTCTCACGATTCATGTAAATTCATATAAAAAATCTATATTGGGATTGTAAGGAGTCATAACAAAGTCGCACGTTAGGTCAGAAAAAGGAGTGATCATGACATATAAGTAAAGACAATTATTTCTATTATATGATGTTCGAGTAAAGAGATGAGTGGTATATGAATGAATTGACACCACATCCGGATAAGAGAGATTCTGAAATCATAGAAGCATGGTTAAAAAAGTTTAAAAGAATTGATGGTTACTAACTATAGTAACAAAGTGCATCTTTCATTTCGATTGTATACTTGACTCGAAACAACCTTGAATCGTACCACCTTCTAACAAATATTCTTAGAAAGCATGTGAAATAAAAAGTCACCTCGAAGTTTATGTCATTTTCTTTAAATTGGAAATGGAAAGCGTTTACTATTTTTTAGTATATATTTCATATTTATTTATTTATATATAATATGTCAAGTAGGTATCATCAGGTATGTAACAAGAAGTTTCTATCTTTCAGCACCAGTCTTTTCTAAATTTCATTTATTCATAATTCAACCTACAATGAAAGTTTATTAAAAAATGAAAAGAATATACACAATATTACGATGAACAAACATATAAATGAATGTTGAGAGACAAGATAAGCACAGTTCAATTGGTTAAGATAATTATCTACGATAAAAAGGTACGTTGATGGTGCACATCAATGATTAGTGAACTATTAAATAACTCAATAATTAATGAACTTTTTTTTAATAATAATAAACCATTTAATTTAAAAAAAAACATTTAATTTCTCGAAAAGAAAGATATTGTGAAACAATGAACTATTATACTAAAAAAAAACTAATACAATTCAAATCTGAAATTCAAATTCATCCAAAATTCGGGATGTAATATACTTAAAAGAAATTATCACATATTTTCCCTAAAAAATTACATATACTTCATTATGATTATGTAATATTTTGTAACATATTTCAAAATATTAACATGTCACTAAAAAAAGGGGAATTTTGATGGATCTGTCAATTACCGCTATGTCCGCTTTGATACTAAACTCGTGTTAAAGATGGGATGGAGTAGAACATTTAAAAAGCAAAGCTTTTCCAAACCAAATTTCTCGAAGACTTCATATCATAAAGTTTGTGTGTCAGGCCATTATTGTGTTAAAGTCGAAGGTACATTTTTTGTTTTTCAGTTTAATGATGTGGGACTACACAATTCAAATTTTCTTTTTACAAGACCGAGCAAATTTTGATAGATAAATCACGTGAAAATTATGTACACGAACGTAAAAAAAAAAATGGAACTTTTCTAACTATCATATCAATTGTTTGATTATATTATTAGATAATATTATTTTAACTATTATTAAATTTGAATCAAGATATAGTTTAGGTTAGAATATAATTTTGAAATAGATTAAATCACAGTTAGGAACTATGTTAGTATAAATAGATTATTAGATTAGTATTTGAAATTATTCAATTCAATAAAAATACTAAAATACATATGATGAAGCCATTATTAAAGACGAGGGAGGTATTTTCAACTGTGAAGGATACTAAAATCAAGATCCATAAATCAATTCCTATAACTTAAACAACAATAACACGTGAAGAAGCTTGGGATTTAAAAGAAAAATTAAATGAGAGAGACGCTTTGAGATGAAAAATTAAATAAATTAAATGAGCCAAATAATTTAAGGCGCTTTGAGACGAGAGAGACGAGGGAGCAGATCCTATTATTAAATTTTCATGGTTAAGAAATTGGCATAATTAGGTCGTAGGGGACGCAGGGGAATGCTGGGGTGATTAGGGCCAAATCGGAATTTCGAATCCTGATCCGAATCTTGGATTTGGGAGCATTGTCTTTTCAGTTTGCCTAGAAAGAAATTGTTGTTACAAGTTTGATCTTGAGAAAGTCTACTGAGTTTTTAGTTGTTTTATGAAATCTAAATGAGAATGTTTGTTACTTGAGTTTTATGAAGTTTGTTTTAAAAACTGAATTTCAGTTGTTTATGAAAAAAGTTTTACGAAAATATTTTCCTATTAACCTACCACCCACTGACCTTCCCAGCTCACTGTTTATGTTTTGTTTTTCCCCCAGGCTGTACCTGATTATCTGAGTTTAGTTTAGCTTCTGCCACTCAGAGTAGTTGAGGATTTGCATATCACTAACGTACATGTAGTTGTTATAAAACTGTTATCGCCCTTTTAATAGAACAGCATGTTTAGAATGTAGGTAAAATTGGTTGTTATGTAAAGATTATTATAATTTTTTATGTATCCATTCAGAACTTGTTAGTCAATGTTTCAGGTCAAGGTTAAAAAAGGAAGTTGACCATGGACTTCATAGTTTATCGGGGTCTGTGGTCCGCGCGACTCGTTCTAGAACTGGTAGGTGTTTTGGGACGGATCATGTCACCAACCCAACCAACACCTCTAAGAGTGTATCCCATTTTTTGGACTAGTTGCTCATTTGAGCGTTTTTGGGCTCTGATACCATATTAATATTCATGGGGTTCCATCTCAAAACCAATTGGTTAGAGGAGTAGTCCATGTCGATTAGAAATTATTGTAAGGTTCATTTTCTTTTCAATGTGTGATCCTTAATATAAGGCACTTGTATCCTACCAATTGTAAATTCGATATATTAACATAAAATCAATCAAATTGCAAAAAGGAGATGTGGCATTTAGTCACTCTAGTTCCCTGGGATTTTTTAGACAGCTGCAATTTATCCAAGATGATGAAGTCCCCACCTAACGGCCACCAAACTGAACAAAGATCACAAATATATCAAAATTAATTATTTAATAAAAAATACCAATTAGGTTTTAAAAAGACGTGCAGTAATTAAGTATTCTATAAAAGAGAAACAGATAGGGTAGATGTAGAACATTCACAGATCCTTAATTTTCCCAAGTGACCATTCTTCTCACAAGTGACCATTTTTCTTAAGTGACCATCGATCTGCGCAGCCAAAAAATGAGCTGTTCCTTGTTGAATCCGCTCCCAGTTGGTTCAGGTAGATGCCAACTCCCGAAGCAACATCCGAGCCTTCGTCCTTCGTTGAGTACACAATTTCCCGGAGCTTTATCACGGTAATTAAACATAACCCATATCTATTTTGGTGTAGTTTTATATTATAAATGGTTAACGTTAATCCTGACCCATGATTTATTTTGACTAGAGAACGAAGATAAGTAAATATATTAGGATAAGATATTGTGGCTAATCTACAGAGTAAGAATAAGATTATGTAGTATAAATATTGATTCTCATTGCTTTGCTTTAGTTGTGGATGGAGAACAAAAATGGTTGGACCGATGAGACCTAAATTCGTCGTCTTTGGCTCTTCCATAGTTCAGTTCAGCTTTGCCGATAAGGGATGGGGTGCTGAAATTGCCAATTTGTATGCCCGTCAGGTATATTAATTCTTTTTTTTTTCTCTAGTTAATACTAGAGTTCTAAAAATGTCGCTGCCACTTTTTTTTCCCCTCTCGAGGCTTCCTATTTTTCTTCCCTCGGACGCATGAAATAACTCATAAAGTTAAACTAGAAACTAAAAGACAAGTGATAGAAGAAGAAAACTTAAAAAGAGGAAAATACAATAGCCAAGAGAGGATCCATGGAAATCTATGCCAGAAAAATAGGGTCTTTGAAAAAGAGGGAAATAGACTTGAGGGGAAGAAGAGAAATGTGAAGAGAGAGAAATAGCACCCCCACCCCATTTGTGGATATGGGCCAAAGGACGACTTCGTGAGTGGAGGGAAATTTACACAACAAAAAGAAATTAATAATGAAGAGAGAGGGGAAGAAGAAGAAATAAATGTTTGTTTTGGTGCATAATTTTCTTCATTTTTCCTTTCTTCTCATTCTCTCTCTAGAATGTTGTGAATGACATGGATCAATATGTGAGCAAAAGTGGTGAACCAAAGGACGGAATAAGTGGACTCAAATATTTGTCAAAATAATATTGCCATATTGAACTTTGACCACTATCCATATTTGTTGAGAAGAAATAATATTGGTGTAACTTATGATTTTTTTACTTTTAATTGGTAATTATTATATTAAATTGCTACTAAATTCTAAATGCTAAACCTAATGGGTTAAGATAAACTGGATTTCTAACGCTAGTTCATTTTAATCAAACTCCACAGGCAGATGTCATTTTACGTGGCTATTCTGGTTGGAATTCAAGTCAGGCTCTAGAGGTTGTGGATGAAGTCTTTCCAAAGGTACACAGCTCTGTTGCTCGTAATGTTAAGGAAATGTATCTCCTATTTTGACCACTAAACTTAGTTTTTTATTTTATAATGGGTTCTATTATATTTAATATCGGTTAAGTTACAAGTTTAGTTCTTAAATTTTAAGACTTTTTTTAAAATAACAGTATTAAATTTTAAAGGTATTTAGTATGTTCTTGAACTTCGAGTTGGGTCTAAAAAGTTTCTAAACTTTAGAAACAACTAGACTTTAGAAAGCGTATAATAAGTTTTTTTGAGCTTTCAGAGTTGCCTAATATATCTATAAAAACTCCTAATCCAATAGTGGGAAATTTTACGGGATGAAGATTTAAACGGGGGCAGGGATGAAAACGAGGAAGTTTCTTATCCCTACCACTTATCCCTATCCCTACCCAATAGGGTAAATCCTTACCTGTTAGATACAAAATTTAAAATTTAAACATATATTAGACAATTTTTAAATTAAGCAAAACCATATATAATGTCTTAATAGAAATACTTTTAAAGATATGAAAGTAAATTATGATAGTTTTTGGTTAATTGGGTCTATCTATTGAATTGAAGCTATATATATAATGTTGTTAAGATCTTAATTTGGTGTGTGTTAGGATTCAATCATCCAACCTTCTCTAGTGATAGTCTACTTTGGTGGTAATGATGCAGTCATTAATTTCCCTACTTCTGTGCCACTCAGTGAATTTACCGTCAACATGACCAAGATTGCCAGCCATATCAAGGTCAATTACTCCTGAAATCTAATCTCATTTTGCTTTTTGTTTGTTAGGTTTGCCAACACTACTTTCACTTCCCATATCTTCTGTTTTAATACCTAAAAAATAACTTTCATTTAAATGTATTTATTTTAAACATTAAAAACAAAATGATTCTAGTTACACAAAGGCTAATCGTCTTGAATAACATTCTTCAGAACCTCTCGACAACAACTCGCGGCATCTTTCTCACACCACCGCCAGTAAACAGTGAGCAAATTAGAGAGCTGTTGTGAGTGTAGAATCATATATTTATTGAATTCAATAAACATGCTTCAATTTAGGTTATTTTGCCTTGCCTCATAGCATTTTTTTTTCTTTATTGACCTAGTCCGGGACTTGAGAAGCTTCGAACGATGGAGAATCTTGAGAAATATACAGATGCGTTAATTGACATTTGTAAGGAGATAGGTGTTGAATATGTTGATTTGTTTCGTGCCGTTCAGAGGAGAGATGATTGGCTAACTTTCTTCACGTTAGTTCATGATATAACCTTAAATTTAGGAGAAAAAATTACATTCAAATGTCGGTAAAAATATTATATATATATTTTTTCTTTTTTGTCAATTTCAGAGATGGAGTCCATTTTAATGAGAAAGGAAGCCACGTAGTTTTTGAGGAAATTAAGACGCTGATTAACAGGGCAAATTGGGTACCAAGCTTGGCCGCAGGATCCATGCCAATTGAATTCGGAAATATCAGAGGACTACGTACCTTTAATTTTGAAGGCTCAGGCATCATTCTAGATTAATTTTAACTATTGCTCTATGATCTCTTCTTAGACTTCTATAAAGGGCAGACTGTCAAGTTCTCTACTTATAAATTATTGCTTATGCTTTAATTAGTTGAACTGTGTTAGTTAAAATAATAACAAACTGGCCCATCTTTTTTTTTCTCTGTGGATACTGTTTCTTTTTTAATTTTAGTTCAAAAAACCATAGTCACTATTGTGTTGTCATGCTCTAGCTAGTAGGTGGTTTGGTTTCTCCTTGTGAGTTAGTTGTTGATCAATTACCATTTTGCCTGATGGTTTCATCCTCCATATTTAGAATTGAACTAAAAAATGCAAATTATATAATTATAGACATCTCAATCCACAATCATTTTGATCAGGCACTTTCCTAGCAGCTCTTGCACATGATCTTTTGACTCCGCTTCCTTCCTTATTTCACTTCTGCTTTAGGGACAACCTATTTCATGGGTTTCTCACCCTCGAGTACAGAGCTCTTTCCTTTCGGATCTTGCTTTCACCCCCTAACATTGAAGACTTACATTCGTAGTCTACTTTGCTTGAAGTGCCCGTTTTTAGCCTAGTATGTAGACGGAATCGCTTTCCAATTAAGAGGAGTTGCTCTGTCATTAGCTAGCCCTCGGAGTATCCTATTTGCGATGGTATAATTGAGCACAATTCAACTAATTAAAGCATAAGTTATAGTTTATAGATTTAGGCCACATCCATGTGCAGCCACCCTTTTATTGAAGTTTAAAATGAGAGAAGAGATTAGTAGTTAAATTAATCTAAAATGAGGCTTGAGCCTAAAGGCAAAGGAATGTAGTCCCTTCATTATTTCTGAATTCAATTAGCATGGATCCCGCGACGAAGCTTGCTACGCAATTTGCTTGGTTAATCACCTCTTAATTTCATTTAAAACTAACAAGCAGCTTCCTTATTTGTAGATTGATATTGATGCAAACTACTGATACCGACATTGACCCCAAATTTAATTATTTACATTTTTTTTACCACTATATAAATATGCCTAATTACCACACCTCTATATTTGCACTTAGATTTCTATCAGTGTCAAATAATATATAGTTTTTCTTTTAGTACAACATGTGGAGGTGGGTGATTGAACTTACAACCTCTTAGTTGGAGATATATGCAAACTATCGCTGAACTATTCTCATTTTGACAAATATTATATAGTTTAGTTTAAATATTTGCATCAATGAGTATATATACCGAACCTCTAAAAAAATTTTTTTTTTTGAAACAGCCCTTCAAAAAATATTTGCACCCACCTATTGTTTATATTTTTGTTAAGTAAACAAAAAAAAAAATCTATAACTAACGAACCAACGAATATGAATAAATCTAGAAACATAAGATAAATAAATGATTCAATTTTTTAAGTAATTTTCTTTGATAAGTTGTAGATAACATTCCAAAATTATTTTTAATATAGCAACTATAAAACCATAACTCTAGGACTACAATAATAATTCTAATTAGGGTGTATTTTGAAAACAAAAATTAATAAAAGCTAAATAATATAAAACATTGATATTTTGATGTAGTGAGTCCTAGATGTTTCTATAGTATACAGAGACATCTCTAAAAATATTCGCAAAAAAAAAAAGGAAAAGTAGTTAGAATATTAGAAAAACGTTTTATTATAAACGAACCATCATTTAAATACATTTTAAAAACAAGAATGGATGACTTGTTCTACTTATATAAAAGGTTGGTCTACATACATGCATTGATTTGTAAATGTGTGATAGAAACATCTTCCTCGCTAGGTAGAAATCATTTTTCAGGTATCGACGCCTTCTATCCACGAAGTGATTTTTAGTCAATTTTTTATTGCTCAATTTTTTTTTGCTCAAATGGTATAAATTTATAAAATTATATTTACAACTTTTTGTCCTAAAAAATCTTTTATTTCACTAATTTATATATTCTTTATTATTTTCTTTTTTTTTTGTTGTTATTTTATGAATTCTCCAACATCATCCTCGTCTTCATCATGATCCTAAGGTGACTTTTGTGTTTTTCTCAAATTTCAAATGTTAGACTTTTATTTATTGATATGATTTGTTTAGTTTTGAAAAAATTTCTAAAATCAAGCCTTTGTTTATATTTTGTTTCAAGGTTATATTTGTCCCAAATAAATTTTATGATTTTAGAAAAATATGCCATTAGTCATTTTTATAGTAACTTAATATTTTTTGTCATTTTTTAAAACCGCTAATTTATTTTAGCCATTTTTCCAGTTGCTCCATCTTTTTTTTGCCTTCGAGAAATTGAAATGAGAACAAGTTTTGATGGGCAGACTATGTGAAACTCGTGTAAAAGATTGGATGAAGTAGAACATATGAAAAAGAAAAGCTTTTCCAAGCAAATAATTTCTTGAAAGACTTCATATCATAAAGTTAGTGGGTTAGGCCATTAATGTGTTAAAGTGAAGGTACATTTTTGTTCTTTAGTTTAATGATGTCGGGCTACAGAAGACAAAGTGAGAGGAAAATGTTATAGATAAATCACGTGAAAATTAAGTACAAATTTAAACGAAGTCAAACTTGTAAAAGGTAGAACTTTTCTGTTGTCATGTCCACGTGTCGAAATCTGATTGTCACTGTAATGTGCCGTGGGACTTTGGAGATTCCCTCGATTGGTACGACAAGTTGGAGAAATTTGCCATAGTTTACCAAAGGTGGATCACGGGCAACACAAGTTAAAGTTAAAACCTCTTTATTAATCCATTGTAGAAAGAACTGGTCATTTAAGTTTGGTATCATTTTTTAATCGTGTTGGATGGTTCATACTACTAATGCGATATTTGCACCATTTCTATATTTTTTTTTTTATGAAATATCTATCAACTTCGTCTTTTCCATGAAACGGACATCTGGATTTCCATATTTGTTTTGCAGGAATGTGGTAGGCATCCGAGTTGTTTTGGATGCTCTTTTGAAACATGAGTTTCCATGATTCTCATATTGAAGGAACCTTATGTTAACATTTTTGCCCCCTTCGTTATTTTTTCATATATTTTCTTTTATTAAGTTTATTTACTTTTATTTATAATTTTATAATTTAAATAAATTAACGTACTCATTGACTAATAAACAATTTTATGCAATTAAGTAATAAACGTCAATTAAATTATATAATATCTTCATTTACTCTTAATATTTGAAAGGAATTATTATGAGTAATATCTATTATCTTAAATACATGTCAAAGCGAACATAACTCAACTGTAATTGACATATATCCATAATCTAGAAGTTGTGAGTTCGATCCCTCACCCCTACATGTTGTACTAACATTGTGAGCTCGGTCAAATGCTCTACGATGAGTTAGAACTCATGTGAGAGTAATGAGTGATTATTTTGGGTTAAGGGTATGATTCGACTAATAAGGTGGGAAGGTGCGGAGCATTAGATTTTACAATTCACTTTTTAATTACCTAATTAATTTGCAAAATTTCGACAATTAGCTCCTTAAAAGATCTAGAGCCTGTACTAATAAATTTTAATTCGTAAAATATACAGGGGGAGATCGGTCAATGCTTATCTTGTATTGACCAAAATATAACAAAAACATGGAATTTTAAAAATAGTAATAAATTATCAATATTTCAATAATTGTCACCATTAGAGATTGGTACTCAACCCACAACAGTTAAATCTTGTTCTTTTTAATGGTCGGCATAAATTTTCTCAAATAACATTTTAGCTTTTTTTTTTTTTTTTACTACTTATTTGGTGGCTAATTTCTTCATTTACCTGATAAATCCTGTGAATCGGTTTTGTCATTAAAAATGCATGCACCGCATAAGTTTGGAATGATATATTATTTTATTATTTCTTTTTTAGTAGACCAACTTAGGCAGGACTCAAACTCATAATCCCATGATGGGAGATAGGTTGTCAGCTAAGTTCATGTTGGCTTGAAATGATATATTAAATGCAAGTATTATTATTACAAAAATATTTTTATAATATGGAATTTCACCCATATTCAATAGGAGTGAACCTCAATAGGTCTACGAATGTTAAGGATTCTACGTTGAAAGGTAAAAGAACATTACAGTGGTTTATAATAAACATGAACTACTCTTATCATGACTAATTGGTTATGAGATGGAAACCCCATGGACATTGATAGTCAAAACTGACACGAAAACCTACCATTCAACTTTGGTGGCAAAACCAACAATCACAGGGTGATAGCGCCTCTATGGTTCACAGACTCGTCCCTTACAGTTATAGGGTGCGCCCTTTGATACCGACAATGTACGCCCTCTCCTACTACGGGCGTGGTCTCGCTCCCACTAGGGAATGGATGCGTGTCCTACTCAGGTTTTATCCTCAACAATATTATTTTATGTTTACTTTTTTTTTTCATTTTCTTCTATCTTCCTAAATGCCCTTTCCCCCATCAACATTTTAATTTTTTAAAAAATCCACTTCTCTCGAAGTTCCACCAATTCAATAGCCCATATTTAAAACTTGACTCCTCACCAGTAAGGACAAGGTTATTCCTTACTAGTGAGGAGTCAAATTTTATCCTTTAAAAATTTGCCAACTCAATTATATCACGTCATATTTTCGTTAGTCAACTAACAATCAAATAAGTTTAGAGACCATTTAGAATCATGTTCTAAAAATTTGAGACTTTTTAAAACTTAGGAATCAAATAAATACGTATAGTCAAATTCTGGACCAAAATTTTATTTTTTACCCGTTTCTATTTAAACTTCGGTGGAAGAAATGCCATTGCATAGTCGGCCATGCAGCAAGGATTTAGATAAAAGATTGAGAAAATCGAAAAGAAAAGAAATGAAAAGTGTGGATGGAAAAATAAATTCGGGTTCAACTGAATAGCTTATTATTAATGTTTCGAAATATTTTACAATTTCTTTTTGAGATTTGCAACTTCGGGGAGATGTTTAAGAAAAGATTCTAACATTACAAAGGTAAGAAAGAGATTTCAATCAACCTGGTTGAAGTATCCAAAATAAACATAATTCAGCTAGCGAAGACATCAGTTATTTATCTAAAATTGAATATTCAAATTATTTTTCAATTAAACAATTTGTTGGACTTCAAAAAATAGAAAAATAAAAAGAATTTCAACTAGTCAATACATTACATACCTCCTTAAAAGTTAATGTTTGAATGACTCACACTTTATTGAATTTAAAAATAAAATTATAAAATGATGTTCAAATTAATAAATAAATCTTCAATTTAAAAATATAACTCAACTAGTCAAAATACTACTTCCGTCAGTCGAAGCTTCGACGTTCCACTCACATCCTGTTGAGCTTAGAAAATAAAAGGAGGTTCAAATCGACAAATAAATCTCTAATTTAAAAAATGTAACTCAACTAATCTAAAATAAATTTTCGTTCTACCAAAAATTAAAAAATATATATATATATATATATATAATATATACATTAAAAAAACATTGATTCTATTTTATTAATATGACAGATAATAGGGTTAAAATACTATTTTGATCATCGTACTTTCAACTTTAGTCCATTCAACTTTGATTCATTTTAATCTATGTATTTTCAAACGTTCGTTTTCATTTCTATAATTTTAAAAACTGATAATTTTAGTCCCTATTTTATAAATATTATAATATTTTGTAGGTGATTTAAAGACTTTTTAAAATAATCTTTATAGGAATTTAACCATATATAAATAGTGACTTATCCTTGAGAATTAAAAATTTAATTAAATTTCTTAAGAAAATAATTATTTAAAATATTAATAATAATAAGAGGACAGTAGAATAGAAATTGACGTGAATCACGTGAACGAGGGAGGATAAGAAAAGCTAGTGGAGTCCATTGTCCAATACAGTGCTATCGCCGTAGATTTTTTTTCTAATTTTATTTTATTTTATTTTTTATTATTCTGAGATAACGGACACCCCACCGACTGGCTTTATTATTTTTTTAAAACTTTTTTTTTTTAATTTTTTGGATGTGTTTGTCGATGCAGTCTCGTGCATGAACCATGAAAAAAAAACTCCATATTAGAGTTTGATGGGTAAACAGAAATTTAGAAACAAAAGATTCAATCAAAACATAATTGTATTCTTGCATTTTCACATATATATTGTTGCGTAAACTAGAAAGAATTACAAACTAAATTTTAGTTTATTCTAAATTTATATTAATTAATTAATATTTTTTATGAATTTTGTATATTTATTTATATTAAAGGTTATATAATTTAGAATACATTACCTGTTTTAATGAGTTTATGATATAAATTAATATATTTATCAAAATTTTTATCATTTTTAATGTAATTCTGCATCTTAAAAATTTCAAATTTTGAATCTAAAAACACTCAAATATAAAAACTAATTTTCAGAATTTCTACGGTATATGAAATAGTTTTAAAATCATGATAAATGCATATTCACTTTTGATTCAATGAATCTGAAGTGAAAAGAAGAAAAGAAAAAAAAAAAACTTTTCCAAAGCCCTTAATATTTTTGGTCACTCCTAATTCAATTCCCTTAAATATTTTAAGACAGCTGCCATATGATCTAAAGACAATGAAGTCCTCCACCCAACCGTTAACCAAACTGAACAGAGGTCACACATATCAAAATTAATTATTTAATAATAAAATAATAAAATAGCAATTAAGTTAAAAAAAAAAAAAGTGCGGTAATGAACTAATTGTATAAAGGAGAAACAAGAGATGGGGTAGATGTAGAAGATTCACGGATCCTTAATTTTCCTCTAAGTGACCATCTGCGCAGCTAAAAATTGAGCTGCTCCTTGTTGAATCCGCTCCAAGTTGGTTCGGCAGATGTCAACTCCCGGAACAACATCCAAGCCTTCGTCCTACTTTGAGTATACACTTTTCCAGAGTTTTGTTGCGGTAATTAAGCATAACTCATATCGTGTAGTTTTTATACTATAGAACATGGTTAACGTCAATTATAATCATGATTTATTTTGATAAGAGAATAGAGTTAATTAAGAGCCTGTTGACTATTTCGTTTCTTGTTTTGGTTTTTAGTTTTTGAAAAACAAAGACACTTGATAACCAATTCAATTTTCTATTTCTTGAATCTCATTTTTTCCTTCTAATAGTCTTTTTTTTTTGGACAATTGCAAATACGGCAAAAACATTTAGTAGAATTAGCAAAATAGCAACCACATTTAATTTTCTCAAATATAACACTTAAAATATATATATATATATATATATATATATATATGGGGGTATAGTGTTAAAATGACAACTTTACCTAAATGATATACATCTGTAATATATCAGTAATATATCTAACTACTGATATATGTATCTGATATACATCTAATATACTGTTCATATGAGTGTCTAATGTACTTACAATATATATGTAATTTACATTTGATATACTATTGATATGAGTTTCTGAATTAATACTAATATAAATGAAAATTTGTGTTATATTTCAAAATTTTAAAAAACAGATAACATATTTTTAAATACATAAAAGATTTTTGTTGTCCAATACAAGTATATTTTGAATCTTGTTTTTATCTCTAAATTTTTTCTTATTATAATTTTTCTTTTTTCTTTTTTCCTTAATGTATATTTTCCTCTCAATTTTACTCTTCCTTTTTTCACTTTTCTTTCACTAATTATTTTTTCTAAATCTTTTTCTTTATCACTTTAAAATTTATCTTTCAAAAGTTTATTTGCACCTCTCTAAACTTGTATTTTCATGCTTTTACATTAAGCACAATAGTTCCCATAAGGTTAGTCTTGCTCCAAGATTAGGAAATGCATGTCCCGATCTCATCCCCATTCCATTTTAAAAAGAATTAATATATATTTTATTTACATATTTATTAAATTGTGAATAAAATATCAAATATTTTTAAAACTAATTATTTATACTAGTAAATAATAATTCTAAAAATAATTAGCATATATTTGTTACACTTTTTTATTTTTTAAATTCTAAAAATAATTATTAAAACTGGTAATTTTTCCCACGAATATCCCCAAATAAGGATTCTGGATCTCGATTCCTCGACTAAAGAACAAGCTGGAGACATGGATTAAAATTTTTCCCAAGCATGAGAATGGGATAGGACATCCTCACCCCCGCCCCATATCATTGCCATCTCTACTAATTTATATAGAATTTTCTCTCTATGATATATATTTTTAACTTTCTAACTATTAAAAACAGAAAACTAAAAATGATTACTTTGGTTTTTTGTTTAAAAAAAAAAATATATGAAATGTATATGGTTTTTGTTTTTTAAACACAGAAAACTAAAAGTAAAAAACATAAAAAATAGAAAAAGCAAAAATTAAAAACATAAATGGTTATCAAACCGACCTTAACTAAATTAGGATAAGATATTCTAGCTAATCAAAGAGTAAAAATAAGATACTGTATATAAATATCGATTCTCATTTTATTTGATTTGGTCGTGGATGTAGAGCAAAAATCGTAGGACCGATAAGACCTAAATTCGTTCTCTTTGGTTCTTCCATAGTTCAGTACAGCTTTGAAGATAGAGGATGGGGTGCTAATATTGTCAATTTGTATGTCCGTCGAGATTTTTTATTTTCAACAAGCAACTATCAATATTCGTTGAGAAGAAATATTGTTGTTCCAACACATGATTTTCGACTTTTAATTAGTAATCACCATATCAAACTGCTACTAAATTTCAAATACTAAACTTAATGGGTTAAGATAAATTTAATTTTTAATTCATACTCGTAGATTTCTAACATCATTTACCTTAATGCAACTCCATAGGCAGATGTCATTTTACATGGGTTGTGGATGAAGTCTTTCCAAAGGTATACAGTTGTGCTTCTCATAATGTTAAATATGTTATTGAACTTTGAGTTGTGTCTAGCTAAAAAGTTTATGAAATTTCAAATTTGTATCTAATAAATTATTAAACTTTAAGAAACGTCTAAATAATTCTCTAAACTTTAGAAAATGTCTAATAGGTTCAAGGGGGTCTAATACATATATAAAAACTCCTAATCCTATAATGGGAAATTTCACAAGATGGATTGAAGTCGGGGACAGGATGGAGATGACGAAGGCTTCCTTGTCCATCCGAGATGGGATGGGGACGAGGACCCTACTCCCTAAACGCTCTTACCTCTTAGATACAAAATTGAAAATTTACACCTTCATTAAATATTTTCTAAATTCAATAATTTTTTTTATCTTTACATATATAATGTCTTGCTAGAATGACTTTTAAAGGATTGGGAGACAAATTAGGTTAGTTTTTAGTTAATTGGGTCAACATATTGAATTATGAAGCTATATATAATGTTGTTAAGATCTCTATTTTCTTGCACGCTAGGATTCAATCATCCAACCTTCTCTGGTTATAGTCTACTTTGGCGGTCTTCTTCCTTTTCCAGGCGGTAGTCACGTGCCACTTCCTCAATTCATCGATAACATGACCAAGATTGCCTGCCATATCAAGGTCAACTACCCCTAAAATCTAATCCTATTTTCCTTTTTGTTTCCTTAGATCGGTAAACACTACTTTCATTCTCACATCTAAAATAAAATAACTTCCATTTAAATGTATTTATTTTAAACAGAAAAATAAAAGGATTATTGTTACGTAGAGCCTAATTGTCTTAAATAACATTCTTCAGAGCCTCCTGACAACATTCGCAGCATCTTCCTTACACCACTGCCGGTATGAGAAAAGATTATACTCAAATTGCGGAAAAAATATTATATATATTTATATATTTTGTCATTTCGGGATGGAGTCCATTTTACAGAAGAACGAAGCCAAGTAGTTTTTGATGAAATAAGACGGCGATTAATCGGGCGAATTGGGTACCAAGTTTGGCTGTGGGATCCATGCGAATTGAATTCGAAAATATCGTATGACTACGTTCCTTTGCCTTTGAAGGATCGAACATCATTCTAGATTAATTTTCACTACCGCTCTATGTTCTCTTTTTAGGCTTCAATAAAGGACTGATTGTGGATGAGATCCAAACTTATAAATTATTGTTTATGCTTTAATTAGTTGAATTGTGTTATGTTAAAATAGTTTAGCCAACAATAATTATCTATATCACAAAATAAATAGAAGGTTACCAAATTGGTTCATACTTGATACATTTTATTTTTGTGGATACTGTTTCTATTCTTTTTTCGAACAATGAAAGTGATTAAAATTAAAGTCTCTATGTTCTTGTGCTGATCACCATACTTGATAACTATGTTTTCATCAATTAAATTGTTAGACAAGTAAGGTAGAGAAAAACAACATAGACATAGAATTAAAAAAAAAACAAAAAGAATGAATGAACTATCAATATTTCAGTAGTTGTCAAGAATGATTTTTTATTTTTTATATTTATTTTTTGAGTACAACATGTTAGGGAGGGGATTTGAACTTGCAGTCTTTTGATTGGAAGTATATCTCAATTATCGTTGAAGTATTATCGTTTTGACTTTAAATGATATTTTAAATATGAATATTATTATTTAAAAAAATATATTTTATAATATAGTAAAATATTTAATTCTACCCATATCGAATAGGACTGGACCGTCGGCCAAAACTGACACAAAAACCAACCCTTTAATTTCGGTGGGTAAAAAATCAGAAGTATTTTAAATTTTGTACCGACCTCTCTCTCTCTCTCTCTCTCTCTCTCTCTCTCTCTCTCTCTCTCTCTCTAATTTGTAAACGTTGGAGGAAGAAATGCCATGTGGCCATGCAGCAAAGGACTGAGTTAAAAAGAGATTGAAAAGATAGAGGAAAGGAAAATGGAAAAGAAAAGAAAAGAAACGAATAAGGGAAAATGATAAGAGGTTAAAATATTATTTACGTCTTCGGTCCCTTGTTGAGTTTAGAAAAAATAAAAAGGAGGTTCAAATTATCCAACAAAATTTTTAAATTATAACTCAACTGGTCAAACATTATTTACTTGTCTAAAATAAATCTCCTATATGTATACACATTAAAAAAAACCCTTAATCTTATTTTATTGATATGATATATAATACGGTTAAATTACTATTTTTTTCTATGTATTGAATTCATTTTGGTTTTCACTCTTAAAATGTTTATTTTGGTTTCTGAATTTTTTAAAAGTGATAATTTTAATCTCTATTTTAACAATATTATAGTATCTCTTATTAGATGATTTAAATAATTTTTAAAATATTCTTTTTAGGAATTTAATCAGGCAAATAGTGACTTATCGTTGAGAAATAAGAATCGTATTGAATTAAATTTCTTTTAAAATATTAATAACAGTAAGAGGACAAGAGGATAGAAAACCGACCATTTTATAGGTCAAAATTTACGTGGATCACGTGAATGTGGGACCCACTGTATGTTTTTTTTTTTGAAAAAACGGACACGCCACCAACTGGCTTTATTATTTTTTTATTTGTTGTCTGGTTGATCCAGTCTCGTCTGAATAAGCAGAGTACAGAGAGAGACAAAAGTGAGTAAATTTGGGTCGTGAGTCCGTCAAGATTTTAAATGTCGATCTTGAAGAAAATGTCGAAGTTTCAATTTCATAAAAGTATCGATAAAATATCAATGTTGATAGATATTTTTCTAAAAGTTAGAAAAATTAAAAAATAGTAAAAAAATATTTAAATTAACAAATAAAAATTTTCAGATTTCTAAATCATATTAAAATAATTAATATTAATAGTATGTATATATTAGTGATCTTTTGTTGATATTTTTTTATATTTTATCAATTTTCTTGTACTATGATGAAAATATCGATTTACCCGTCATGTTGATGTCGAATCCATGAAAACATGGATATGTCGATAGAAATGTAGACATGTTGATGGATATTTGAAATCATAGAGTGCATAGCTAAGTTTTAATTTTTTTTAATTACAGATATTTTTTAATGGTCGTTTTATAATTAATGTATTTTCTATTTAAAATATTTGTTGAAAATATAATAATTTATTGATTAGTTACAAACTTATATTTCTTTGTGTTCAAATTTGTGTATGCTACTTTATTGGTAAAAATGATTGATATATTAAAAGTAATAAAAATTGGCCTATATTGTACTAAAAAAATCTATCAAATTACATCTAAATTTGAACCTAATTAAATTGTTTAAGGTACATTTTCCAGTAAAAGATTGAAGATTCATTGGTCACTCTAATCTAATTCCCTTAGATTTTATAGATAGCTGTCATATGATATAAGGACAACGAAGTCCCACTTAACAGCCACCAAACTGAATAGACGTAATAAATATCAAAATGAATTATATAATAAAAAAAACTCAAAATAGCAATTAAGTTTAAAAAAAAAAGGTGGGGAAATGAACTTGTTCTATAAAAGAGAAACAAGAGATGGGTAGATGTAGAACAAACATAGATCCTTATTTTTCCTCCAAGTGACCATCTGCGCAACCAAAAAATGAGCTGCTCCTTGTTGAATCCGCTCCAAGTTGGTTCGAGTAGATGCCAACTCCCGAAGCAACATCCGAGCCTTCGTCCTTCGTTGAGTATACATTTTCCCGGAGCTTTGTCGCGGTAATTAAGCATAATCCATATCTATTTTGGTGTAGTTTTTATGCTATAGATCACGGTTAATGTTACTCATCACCCATGATTTATTTTGACTAGGAAATGGACATCATTAATTAGATTAGGATAAGAAATTGTAGCTAAACTAAAGAGTAAGAATAAGATACTGTAACAAAATATTGATTATCGTTTTACTTGATTCAGTTGCGGATGGAGAGCAAAAATGGTAGGACCAGTGAGACCTAAATTCGTTCTCTTTGGTTCTTCTATAGTTCAGTACAGCTTTGACGATAGAGGATGGGGTGCTGATATTGCCAATTTGTATGCCCGTCAGGTAAATTGATTCATTTGTCTCTAGTCGAGATTTCTTATTTTCAACGAGCGACTATCAATATTCGTTGAGAAGAAATAATGTTGTTGGAATACATGATTTTCGACTTTTAATTAGTAATTACTATATTAAACTACTACTAAATTCCAAATATACTACGCTTAGTGGGTTGTTAAGATAAATTTAATTTTTAGTTCATACTCGCAGATTTCTAACGATCGTTTATCTTAACGCAACTCTACAGGCAGATGTTATTTTACGTGGCTATGCTGGTTGGAATTCAAGTCAAGCTCTACAGGTCGTGGATGAAGTTTTTCCAAAGGTACACAAGTGTACTGTGCTCCTCATGAGAGTTTATCTCCCACTTTTGACATTACCTTGAAAATCACCACTAAGCTCAATTTTTTTTTTTTATAATTGGTTTGACTATATTTTATTGATTAAGTTATAAGTTTGTTGTTCACCCTTTAAGAATCTTTTTAAATAAATTATTAAATTTTAAAAAATTTTTAAATAGGTTCTTGAACTCCGAGGTGTGTCTAACTAAAATGTTTATCAACTTTTAAAATTGTATCTAATAAATTTTTATTCAAATGAGTCTAATACGTATATAAAAACTCCTAATCGTATAATGGGAAATTTCACCAGATGAAGATTAGAAATAGGGGGTGGGATGGTTCCTCGTCCCTCTGAGTGGGGTGGAAACAAGGAAGGATTACTTATCCCTACCATGTTCTGTAAGCGCTCTACCTCTTAGATTCAAAATTGAAAATTTAGACATTCATCAAATATTTTTAAAATTGAAGATATATTTTTTTTCATATATAAAGTCTTTTCTAAAGGATTGGGAAGTAAATTATGATAGTTTTTAGTTAATTGGGTCAACATATTGAATTATGAAGCTATATATAATGTTATTAAGATCTCTATTTCCTGCACGGTAGGATTCAATCATCCAACCTTCTCTAGCGATAGTCTATTTTGGTGGTAATGATGCAATCATTCCCCTTCCTTTTCCGGGCGGTAGTCACGTGCCACTTCCTCAATTCATTGATAACATGACCAAGATTGCCTGCCATATCAAGGTCAACTGCTAAAATCTAATCTCATTTTCTTTGTTTTATTGGATTGATAAATACTACTTTCACTTCTCTCCTTTAAAATAAAATAACTTTCATTTAAATGTATCTATTTTAAACAGTAAAAACAAAATGATTATAGTTACACATAGCCTAATCGTCTTGAATAACATTCTTCAGAGCCTCTCGACAACGACTCGCAGCATCTTCCTCACACCACCACCGGTAAACAGTGATCAAATTAGAGAGCTATTGTGAGTGTGTATAATCATATATTTATTGAGTTCGATAAACATGCTTCAATTCATGTTATTTTTCCTTACCTCATATCATTTTGTTTTCTTGATTGACCCAGGCCAGGACTTGAGAAGCTTCGAACGATGGAGAATCTTGAGATCTATACAGATGCGTTAATTGACATTTGTAGGGAGATAGGCGTTGAATATGTTGATTTGTTTAGGGCTGTTCAAAAGAGAGAAGATTGGCTAACCTTCTTCACGTTAGTTCACAATATAACGTTAAATTTAGGAGAAAAGGTTACATTTTATACGGCAGAAAAAATATTACATATATATTTATTTACTTATTTTTGTCAATTTCAGGGATGGTGTCCATTTTACAGAAGAAGGAAGCCGCGTAGTTTTTGATGAAATTAAGAATACGATTAACAGGGCAAATTGGGTACCAAGCTTGGCTGTGGGATCCATGCCAATTGAATTCGGAAATAACACAGGACTACGTTCCTTTGACTTTGAAGGCTCGAGCATCATTCTAGATTAATTTTAACTACTGTTCAATCTCTATTTTTTAGACCTCAACAAAGGACCAGCCGTCGGTGGATCCAAACTTATAAATTATTATTTATGCTTTAATTAGTAGAATTGTGTTATGTTAAATAGTTTAGCCAACAATAATTATCTCTATCATAGAACGAAAATGATGCATTTTTATTTTTTTGGATACTGTTTCGTTTTTCCTTTTGTAATAATTTTAAATCAATCTTCATAAATAACCGTAGTCAACATTGTCTTTGGTGGTTTGGTTTGTGATAGTTAGCTGTTCAATTACGGTTTTGCCTTCTTTGTTTTGCATATTACAATTTCAAATGGGGATGATTTCATCCTCTAAATCCGCAATTATTTTAAATTATATCATTTTTTAAAAAGAACTTAAATTATATCATTACAGACATTGGCAATCAATTTGATCATATCTTTTTATATAGTTGATAATCATGCTATAATTAAACACAATTCAACTAATTACAACATAAGCTAATAGGTTACACCCACCCACAACTACCGCTTTATTAAAGTTTAAAAAGTGAGCAGAGAGTATTAATTAAAATTAATCTTAGAATGAGGCTGGAGCCTTCAAAGGCAAAGGAATGTGGGCCTTAGTTATTTTCGAATTCAATTGGCATGGATCCCACAGCCAAGCTTCGTATTCAATTTGCCCGATTAAACCCCTTCTTAATTAATTTCATCAAAAAATTAAGACGTTGCTTCCTCCTCTAGTAAAATGGACTTCATCCCTGAAAATTCCCGTGATTCATGTAAATTCCTGCCGTATATTTATATTCGAGGTTGTAAGGTGTACAAGTAAAGTCGTATGTTAAATTAGAAAAGGGGGTGATTATGACTCGTAGATAAAGACAATTATTTACCTTGATAATTATGCATTTTGGGTGGAACTAAAAGCAAAACGGACAATATCTAATTATTGTTGATATGTTTGGAGGTACTTGGAGTACTCGTTGTAACGATTTGAATGAAACCTATTATAGAGAAATAAGCGAGATTCAACTAGACGACATGAGACCGGAAGAAAGCCAAGAAGTGGGTACGAACCAGGAAAGGGGGTCGGGAACCCTAACGGTTCATCCCGAACCATCCCACCTCGACTCTCGATTCGACCTCAAGCCCACAATGAAAGGAACAGACCCGAAGCAAGCATGAGGCCCACTCCGTCTAGATCTCCTAAGTGCATTAGGATTCAACTTATGTAAATCCTAAAGGGAATAGGATTCGACCTCTATAAATGGGAGAGTAAGCTAAACTCTAAAGGTATGCTCACAACACTCTACACTTTATACTCAACTCCTCCGATTTTAACTTAAGCATCAGAGCCTGTGTGGCTAGAGCCACACTGGTCTTAGTACTATTCTGTTTTACAGGTCTCATCGATCCTTTTATTCTAGAACATTGGTGCAAATTTGGCGAGATCTTAGGAGGCTAAATTTCTGCATCAACAAAACCGATGATCAAAACCGAACACTTTTAGACTCTTGAATGTTATGAACAGAAAAAAAAAAAAAGAAATTATGGTATCTTTCGTTCGATTTTTAATTGATTTTATGCTCTTATTCTTACCTAGCGACAACACTATTAAACAACTCATTATTATTTTAAAAAAAAATTATATTTTCCTTTCTCTCTTTTAATTGTTAAAAATTTAATGGCGATTTGTCCTCCTTATCATTGTTGAGGACGCAAGTATTTTCCCACTATTAATATTCTTTGGTTCCATCTTAAAACTAGTAAATAATGAGAAGGGTAACCCACTTCTATTATAAACTATTATCAGGTCTCTTATCATCCATAACATGCACTTCAAGATCATGTCTCTTTTGGCCCGTAGATCTTGATCTCATTTTGGACGGAATGCTCGTTTGAGCATTTTGTGCTCTGATACCATATTACTATTCATAGAGTTCCGTCTCAAAATCAATTGGTATAAGAGTAGTGTAAATTAATTTTAAGTGATTATCAATAATTTGGTTACGCTATGTTTTTTTTATGAGATATATATAGCATTTAAAAATATATTTAAAATTTGAATCAAGCTTGAGGGGAAATATTGTATTTGGAGCATTGGACAAAAGTAGTCATCGTAGCTTCTCCAAATATCTATTGGACTTTGGCAGATCATTATTTTTAGTATTGCAGCATTAGAATTTCTTTTTTCTTTTTTTGAGTATTAATTGCAGCATTTGAATTAAAGCTTAGAAGAGGAACAATTAGCCAATTAGATATGACATGCTAGCGAACTTGAAATACAAACTTTACCTTAAAGTTTTCATACCCATGTAACTATATGGAACTTGGGCCCAATATTTCCCATTAATCGGCTCGGAATTCGGTATTGGGCCTAGATCTGGATCTTTTGGGCCCCCTTCTGAATTCGTGGTCTTTGTTCTCTCCAAGAAAATGAAATGAAAACAAATTTTGATGGATGGACTATGTGAAACTTGAAAGTCGTGTAAAATATTGGATGAAGTAGAAAAGCAAAGCTTTTCCAACCAAATTTCTCGAAGACTTCGTACCATAAAGTTAGTAGGCCATGCTATTATTGTGTTATAGTCATCGTTCTGAATATTCGTGGATACGTCGACATTTTCATTAACATATCCGTGTTTTCTCGAGTTCGACATGGATATTAGAGATAAATCGACATTTTCATTATAGTACAATAAAATCAACAAAATATAAAAAAATATCAACAAAATGTCACTAATAATACGTAATATTAATATATATTATTTTAACAAATTTAGAAATAGGAAAATATTTATTGGTTAATTTAAATATTTTTAACCATTTTTAAATTTTTCTAACTTTTACAGAAATATCTGTCGACATCGACATTTTTTTGATATTTTCTATTGATATTTTCATGAAATCGAGACTTCGACATTTTCATCAATATCGACATTTAAAAACTTGATATAGTCAAGGTGCATTTTTGTTTTTCAGTTTAATGGTGTGCGGCTACATAATACAAAATTTCTTTTTACAAGACAGAAGTGAGAGCAAATTTTGATAGATAAATCACATCAAATTTGTGTACAATTTTGCACGAAGTGAAACTCGTACAAAATAGAACTTTTCTAACTATCATATTATTCATTATATTATGTTATTAGATAATGTTATTTGAATAATTATTAGATTTAGATCGAGATATAGTTTAATTACGATGTAATTTTGAATTGGATTTTCTATTTGAATTATGATTAGGAATTATGTTAGTATAAATAGAATATTAGGTTCTTATTTGAAATAATTCAATTAAATGAAGATACTAAAATAGATATGATGAGTTTGAGAGTCACGAGATAAGCATAATTGATTTTGATACTTTAAAAATCAATTTATGATTTTAACTCTTTCTTAAATGTGGGGATGAGAATTTGAGACATTATATACCTTCAATCTAAAAAGTATAACTCATAACTAATCAAGACGTTATATACCTACTTAAAAGTCTAAGGCTCGAGCCCGACTCACACCTTGTTGAACTTAAAATAATAATAATAATAATAAGATGTTCAAATTAATAAATAAATCTCCAATTTAAAAAGTACAATCCAACTAGTCAAAATATTACTTCCCCTAAAAGTCAAAGGCTCACTCACACCTTGTTGAGCTTAAAAAATAAAAGGAGGTACAAATCAACCAGTAAATTTCTAATTAGAAAGATGTAACTTAGCTTATTAAAACATTACTTACCTCACCTAAAATAAAGCTCCATTCTACCAAATCTTATAGAAATATACATATACCAATTAAAAAAAAAAAACCTTATCTTATTTTACTAATATGGCATATAATAGATTTAAAATTATATTTTGTTATTATATTTTCAACTTTGGTTAATTTTAGTTTCTCTATCTTCAATACGACAATTCATGATTTTCTTGACAGTATTTTTGCCCATGCTTGAAAAGTCGACGAGATAAGGCTTTTTTTCCTACGAAATTCATGTCGTCGGGAAAAAACCACTTTTCCCAACATTTTATAGGAAACATCAGAATAAGTAAGCCACCTACTGACATTTTTTAAAAACGTCAAACAAAAGTTGGTAGGACATATTTTAGGCATTTTTAAAATTGTTATTCCCGACATTTTCAGAAAACATTGGGAAAAAGTAGTTTTTGGTCCCTATTTCAAAATGTTCATTTTGATTTCTGCTCTTTCAACTTCGATTCATTTTAGTCTTTGTACTTTCAAAATTTTCGTTTCTGTCCTTATACATTTAAAAAGTGGACAATTTTGATCACTATTTAACGACATTATAGTATTTTTAGGTTATTTAAAGAATTTTTAATATATTCTTTTTAGGAATTTAATCATCTAAATAGTGACTCATTCTTGAGAATTAAGAACTAAATTAAAATTCTTTTAGAAAAATTATTTAAAATATTAATAATAATAATAAGAGGGTCAAGAATTGATTCATCCCATTGTGAAACTATGTTAAAAGATGAATAAATCACCACTCAACTCAAAAATTTTAGTTAATGAGTTGAATAAATTTAATCCATACACGGGATATCTTAATCGAAAAAATTGAATGCTTAGGGAGGGAAAGAAAAGCAAGGGGAATCCAATAGAATGCTTTTATCGTTGTGTTCTTTCCAATCTAAAACAGGGCAGAGCCAGAGTTTTTATTACTATTAAATAATAATAATAATAATATTATTATTATTATTTATTTATTTTCTGCAAAGGACAGAGCTGCTTTTTCTTCTTTGCTTTTGCTTTGTGTAGCCACTCGGACCAACTGTACGTTGTCTTTTTTCTTTTTCCTTTAATTTGAAAAAAGGGAACCCGACTACCTTTATTATTATTATTATTATTTATTTTATTTTTTATGTATTTGTTGTAGTGCATAAATCATGATGATGAGCAGAGTACAGAGAAAGAACACTTTTATGGGCAAGTACAAGCCAAGTAGAAAAGCAATTATCTCAAAAGTTAAAAAGGCCAAAACAAACGAGAAAGATAAAAAGGGTAAAACGAAGCTTGTTCGTTCGAAATGTCAGTTTGAATATTCTGATTGCGACTTATATGAACATATTGAAGCTCGTGTGTATGAAATTTGAATAATAATGATTAAGTGATTAAATCGATTGGAAGGTTCGAGTGTATAAGTAGGTTTTTTTTTTTCAGTTACTA